ATTTATTATTGTTTTTATTTTTGGAGGGATTATTATTAGGCTCTGTGTGGAGTAAGGAAACTTGTTCAAGGGGTTTCACCCTCTGCCTGGAATTGAACCCAGGTGTCTCGCTTGCAAAGCGAGTGCTCTAACCACTGAGCTACAGGACTCCTGTAAGTCTTTTGTTTTAAAAACCCAGAGGGTAATTAACACCTGGAACAAGTTACCAATTAGTGTGTTAAGGCTAGAACACTGGACTCATTTTTAAATATACCTTAATGTTGTGATGGGAGGACAGCAAGTCGGATATTTTTATTGAATAATCCAAAATAATTGAATTATTAAATAAGAGAAGGGAACTTTTCCCGATATCCTAACCAACAATCCCCCAAATAAAATTGGTCATTCACTTCATGGCTGTCGTGAGACATTGCTGTACACAAATTGGCTGCCTTGTTGGCCCGCGAAAAACAGTCACTGCACTTGACTGTATACCCTATGAGGTGCTTTGGGACATCTTTCCGACGTGAAAGGCGATGTACCTAATGCAAGGATTATTATCATTTCTAACAACGTAATCATACGGGATGAACAGCCTTCATTATCTAAACCTCTTGTGTGTTACAGGGCAACCCCTTTACACACTGGTTTGTGTTCATAAACTCAGATACTGTGTTACTACAAGGCACTCTAAAAAAAACTGCCTCCTTCCAGCTCATTGCTATCATTTATTGTGCCGGATGCCAGAGGGTCAGCACGGGAAGTGGCCTGTGCTTCTGGTAGAGAACCGACCTGTGTTACAAACAGATCCTCCCTAAATCAGGAGGCATTTTAATGAGGTTGTGCTGTAATTTGGATCAGAAAGCACGGAGCAAGACAAAGGCCTCAGGTTATCAAGCTTGCAAAGGCAACACCGAACCTACTTTATCAATATCATGCATTTTTTGAAAAACATTCTGCATAGTTACACCACAGTCCCCAAAGGTTCCCCAGAAAATTCAACTCGAGGCCATTTCCCTCTGCAGATAACATTTACTCCCTTCCTTAAGAGCACAGGAATAATTGTGCCCGTGGAGTATTTGTTCTGCAGCAAATTATATATCCTCTAATACTTTCTGACGGAAGGTCATTGACCTGAAACGTTAACTCGTTTTCCTCGCTCCATGGATCCTGCCTGACCTGCTGTGTGTTCCCAGCGACTTCTGTGTTTATAACAGATTTTTAGCATCTGCCGTCCTTTGCCTTTTATCCTCTAATACTCTTCCAGTTCATCCTGAATATCATTTGATCCTTCCATTTTATTATTGTTTTGTAATTCTTGCCCACCTTTTCATCTCCCACATACATAGAGTATTTAATAGCTTGGCTTACCTTTATACTGTGCACTCCTGGAAAAGGTCCAATTACTTGTTCAATGTTATGTACACAAGCTTGACAAGTCATTCCCTCAATAGAGATGATGGTGTATTTGGCTTCTTCTGTCAAAACCATTCTGGGGCTCAATCTTCACTGATCTGTAAGATCAGTAAAAAGGTAAGGTTTTGTAAAAGCATTCAGCCATCAATATCAAACAAATAAGCGGGGGGGAAATTACTCTCAATTGACATTTCAGCATGCTTTGCGAACAAATGCATGAAACAATACTTTATAGTATTTGCGTTCGAAATAGCACCTAACTACATCAAAATATCTCAAAGCACTTCACAAGGTTTTGCTGTAAAGTAGTGACTAGAAGGTAGATATCCTGCTGTCCAGTGACTTTGCGCTGGAAAAGTGAGCTTGTGTGGAGGTCGGATAAAGCCAGGAATGTAAACAGTTATGATGCTTCAATCACTAAATAGTCTGGCAACGTTCACTAAAGAAGAAATGGACAATGTACACAATATCACTGCATTTCTGGTGCCTATAGGACTGGAACCCAGAGTCAGGTACCTTGAGACAATGACAATGTTTGCTTAGGTTTCAGCACATTCTCTGCTCCTTCCTGTCCGCAGATACCATGACAAACACAGGCCATAAACGTGCAAAATACCACAGCACAAAATGAACTGCAAGGCACCAGATTTTACAAAGGACTTTAATCTGCAATAATAAAATACAAATGTTGCTTCATAGCAAAATCCTTGGAGCAGTTTTAGATCAGAGGATTAAAGAGGAGATAATTGTTACATAATAAATTATCCTCATTGTTTTTCCTATACAGTCTCCCAAACAATGAATATATTTTCATGAATCTTTTAGGGGTCTAGATTTCTACCAAGTCTTTAGAAAAAAAAGGTACTTAAATTGGTGCAATTGGAAGTTATCCAACTGTTAGAACAATACAAAATTACATTTGCAAAGTGCCTTTCACGTCGGGAGAATGTCCCAAGGTGCTGGACAGTCAGGGATTTGGACCGGAGTGGGATGGGGGGGTGTTGAGAACACGGAGGGCAGGAAGGGTAGGAGGGTGTCTTAGTGCGTGGTCGAAGAGGAAGGTCTTGAGACATGCCTTGAAGGAGGCAAGGGTGGGAGCAAAGGGAATGTGGATGGAGTTCCAGAGGGTGGGGGCAGAGAGGCTGTGAAGGCCCAACCGCCGATGGTGGGGGCGGGCCGCGCGGGGGACATGGAGCAGGCCGGAGCCCACTGAGCGGACAAGCTGTTAAGAAGTTTGCAGGTCGGAGAAGCAGGAGGGGACAAGGCCGCGGAGAACCTTGCAATACAGGAATAAACATCTAGATAAATTAATCGTTTGGATAGAGAACGTTAGTGTTAAAAGTGTATCACCTGCGTCAGCCTGGCTCAGCTGGTAGAACTCTCAAAATAGTAGGCTTTGGGTTCAAGCCCCATGTTAGGTCTTTGAACTCACAGTCTAGGCTGACACTCCAATATTGTGCTGGGGGTGGGGGGGGTGAAATCGCTGCATTGTTGGAAGCGTCATCTTTCGGTGATTAAAGATCTCATGGTACTATGCTAAAGGAGAAGGAACTTTCTCCCAGTATCCAGACCAATCCCCCGCATAAAACAATTTAAATGGACATTTAAATCATGGTTGTTTGTGAGACAGTGCTGTGTGCAAAAATTTTCTGCCATGTTTACAAAAATACAGTTATAACAGTTCACAGTAAATCTTGTGAAGCACAGTGTGACATCTCAACAACATCAGACACTACATCAAATGCAAGATTTAAAAAAAAATCACACAGGTGTCTCAAACAGAAACCCATCATCAATGCTTAAGAATATCAAAACCGACACAAACTAAGAGTTCCATGTAGGCCATCTGCACACGGAAATTTTCATGTTTGGAATGGAATCACAATTCACAGTGTGCATTGGAGTACTGCTGGAGTATAACCAGCTAACACTGTACAGCTTGCCATTGAGATCACTGCTTGTCTCGCTAGGACCACCCTACTCATCATGGCTTTGGCTTTCAGGGTTAACACAACAACAACAACTTGCATTTATATAGCGCCCTTCACGTGGGGGTAGCAGTCCAGGAGGGCTTGACAGTGGCGGAGTCTGAGTGGGTACACAAGCTGAGTGGGAAGAATCCCTGCCTTTCAAGTGCTCCTGATGAGCCAGATTAGCTGACTTATTATCAGCAGTGCCCTGGAGTCATGTGTTCCAACTTACCCGACTGGAACCAGACTACCAAAACAGTCACAGAGGAATGACTTGATATCGACATTCCATTGCCAAGGATGTAACCATCGAGCCTCGGGAGGATAGTCACGAGCTATTAATAATATCATTAAAAGGCGCATTGCCTTTATCAAAAGTGCTATAGTCATTTTTTTTCCCTCCATTAATTTGCAAACATACTGGAACTGCATCTCAAGAGTCCCTCCAACTCCCTTCCCTCATTCAAGACACACCTCAAAACATCTCTTTGACCACACTTCCGGTCGCCTTTCCCCTATCGGAACCCACCGCTAGCAAGGGTGCCCTGCCAGCATTGCCGAGCACTTTGGAGATATCCTCCCGATGCGATGGGCATTATCTAAATCTAAGTTGTACTGTGCACAGCAGAGGCGTGCAAAGGTTAAAACACATCCACAGCCACGAGTATAAAAATGTACGCATTTCAACTGATGCATTTCAACTTGTGGGCAGCCGTCCTTGAGAAGTGGTTCACAGACAGACGTCATGACTGCGGTTGCCTGGAATTTGGTCAGTTGACTGAATCAGCACAGAATCCCCCACACGCGGGGGGCAACTGACCAACAATTTCCATCCCCGACGAGAATGCCAAGAAGCCTGAATACAAACAGGGCTGTAAACTTGACCAACATCTGCTCACAGCAGTGAACTTGTTGCAATTCTCTCTCCCCCACCCCCCACCCCACCCCACCCCAAATGAGAAAAACAATGGGTGAAAGATTTTTTTTCCAACAGAAAAGAAATCTTTTTCCCTCTCCACACATATGTGTAAGCCCATGTTTTTTTTGGAGGGGTGTGGGGGGGAGAACACGAAGAGTCAACAACAAATACTTGTTATGTTTATGAGTAAAGTTCCCAAAGGGACTTGTCCTCACCCTGGGAGGGGGTGGGAGGGGGTGGGGGGGGGGTGGGGGGGGGAGGGGTAGGACTGTCGGGCTGCAGATTATTCTGATTGATCTCTGGCAGAAATAATGAGCTGTAGATATAGATATATATATATATAGAGTGTACATTAGGTATTGTGCAGCGAACCCCTCTCACCCGGTGCTGTGTCGCGGCTCCTGGTCTGTGCCCCTCCAGAGCTGCTGCTGCTGTCACTCAGTCACACCCGCATCCCGGGAACAGCTGTTCTGCGCTACTTTGTAGCGAAGGGGCACTCGCGCCGCACGTACGTACGCACTCGCGTCGGCGCGTCGTCCCCCCCCCCCACCCGAGCCGACGCCGTCCGCCTCACGCGAACGAGACGTCACCGCTCGGGGGGGGGGGGGAGGGCGGGGCGAAGGGCGTCGTGACGCGGCCCGACGCCGAGCGCTTGCCTTCCAATCGACCGCGGCGAAACGTCATCGCGTTCGTGAATGCACGCGCAACGTGAGGCCGTTGAGTCGAGGGGTTGTCGTTGTCGTCGCTCGGGTCGGGTCGGGTCGGTCGGGCCGCGTTTGCGACGTTTTCACGTGAAGGGGCCGAAGTCGGTTGCTAAGCGACGGTTCAAACCCATTTGTTTGAGAGACGTTTAAAGTGAGCGACTGGTTTTTCCGTTTCCTTCGTGAATAAACAGTGTTCCCGGTGGCCGGAGGGCCCCGTCCCCGTCCCGCACCGCACCGCGAAAGATGGCGGCGGCCGAGCGGGGCGGCAGCAGCGAGTTCGTGAGGTGAGAGAGAGGAAGAGAGAACCGGACCCTTCGTGTCCCCTCCGCTGTGGAGACACCGGCCTGGGAGAGGGAGAGGGAGAGGGAGGAACAGAGGGCAGGGAGGCCGGAGCTTAAAACACTGTATAATAGCCCAAAGTCAACCCCACAGGAGCCCGAAAACGAACTCAATAATAAAATAAATACAATCCCGTCCGTGTGGTGCAGCGCCTGATCGCGCCTTCGCGGCGTCGCCACGCGCTTCACGGACTACACTGTGAAGTGAGTTGAAGGTGCATTTTGTGGGCGCAATGTTATGCGTCGCTATCGTCCCTTCGGGGCCGAGGTACGAAGACCCCCGCGGCGAGACGCCTGGGAGGGGAATGCCGGAATCGAGCCCCTCGGTCGTGGCCTCGGGCCGTCCGGTCCCTCAGCCCGGCGGGTCTGCAGCCAACCGGGCTCACAGGCAGGACCCGGAAGGGCAAACCGGTCACTGGGGGGGGGGGAGAGGTAGGGAATCATCCAACTCAACTGCTGTTGACCCCGCAAGCCAAAGCGTTAATGGGTAGGGTGGTCCTAGTTGGACCAGCAGTGAGACAGCTCGCCCAGACAGTGCCAGAGAGTACTTGTCTCGCAAGCGAGAGGACCTGGGTTCGATTCGCGGGCTGGTGCGAAACGTTGGGCAAGTTTCCTCACTCCGCACGCCTCTGTTCACCTCGCAGTGAGTAGGAACCCGGTCGTTAGTTGATCGATTGGCGGATCGCATTTCCGGGGGTAATAATTCCTTCAAAGTTAAAAAAAAAAATCGGTCACTCAATCTGCAACTTTTTGTGGGGCACTGCTGTGTGCAATTTATTGGCTGCCGCGTTTCGCCCACAAAATACACACATTACAGTATATTCTGTGAAGCGCTTGGAGATGTCTCGAAGACGTGATAAGGCGCTATATCAAGTGCAAGGATTATTATTTACAGTATATCCTGCAAAGTGTTATGAAATATCTCAATCACATTTTAAGGGGCTTTATCAAAAGCAAGGATTACTTGGAGCAGAAAGAAAGCAAAAATGCTTGATATCCTTAACTCTTCACATCCTTTCTAGCTTTCTTTTGGGAAGGACCTAAGCTATTGGGTTCCTCTGAACAGACAGTCAAGTGCGCGTTAATCTGAGGCTGGAGTGGGCAGGGGTGCAGACTGACTGACAGTGCGGTTTACAGATGTGTCGTGGTGGGTTCTGTTCTGTTCACACACACGCATTCCTCTCTCTCACCCCCCCCCCCCCCCAACCTGCTTCCTCCCTCAACAGTAACAAATTGCATTTATATCTCTCATCTATATCTCAGAAATATTGCCTCTTCCCCTCCCCCAAAAAAATCTGGGGAACACAGATCCTGCCTCCTCCTTTTTTACCCTCTCCTCCAAAATCTATAGAGTACCAGCCCTGCCTTTAGAGACCTTAACCACTCCTCCCCACACATTCCTCAATCTATAGAGAATAGACCTTCATGCTCTCTATAAACCACCCACCCACCAAATCTATAGAGCATTACCCATATTGGCATAACTGATGGTGTGCTTGATGAGTTTAATAGCCTTCTCTTCCTACCTATTGTTGCCACATTTGCCAATAAATACTCTCAATAGATTTCACAGTAAAATCTTATGAAGCACTTTGAGATGTCTCAGAAATGTGATAATGCACTATATCAAATGTAAGAATTATTATATTATTTATCACAAGGAGATGGCAGTCAGAGACCAGAGTGTTTTGGTCATTTGATATAGCGCTTTTCACATCTAGACGTCTCAAAGCGCTTCACAGAATATTCTGTAAAGTGAATTGACTATATTTATGGGCGGAATGTGACGGCCAATAGTGCACAGCAGTGTCCCACAAACAATCATGGATTGAAGTGACCAAACTATTACTGTTTTTTTCTTGAGAGATTATTATCAGGCTTGTGAAGGAAGGAAACTTGCCCAAGGTTTCAACCTGCCGAGAATCGAACCCAGGGCTCTCGCTTGCGAGGCGAGTGCTTTAACCACTGTGCGCTATCTGTGTTTCCATAGAAAAGGAAGATCAGAGGTTTACTCCTCTTAGTGTGCTTTTCATCGAATTTCATGGAGTAGGTTTGAGATGGTCTTGGTGCAGAAAGAAATCAAAAATATGTTCAGAATAGTAAAAAAAAACAGAATAAACTATTTCACTGCATAAAACTATATGTGTAGATGAATTCTAGGTTTTGTGCTCTTCATAACCCATTCACTTTTTTTTTGATAGGTTTATGCTATCTCTGATCATTCCAGTGCTTTTCATTAGTGCCTGTTTGTTACTGGCCCTCGTTGCTGTTTTAATGGTAGTTCGTTTCTGGGTTAGCCAAAAGAAGAAGTTGGCACGGAGGGCTGGAAAAAATGGCAAAATAGTGGTGGCATTCTTTCATCCATACTGCAATGCTGGTGGTGGAGGAGAAAGAGTGTTGTGGTGTGCAGTACGAGCAATGCAGCAGAGGTACGTATCCATTATTTCAATTCAGAGCCAGCGATTCTGTTAATCAAGAAATTCATTGCAGAGAAAACTGGGTTGTAGCATAAAGTGGACAAAATGACAACCAGATTAACAGACCAACAACAATAATTGATATAAGGTCCTTCACACAGGATAAAATCATGGAGTACTTTTCAGCAAAAAGATTGGACATTGAGAAAGGGCAGGGGGAGATGCGATGACCATGTGGGCAGCAGAAGAGGTAAATTTTAAGGTGGAATTTAAAGGTAGAGAGAGGTGGAGTGGAGGGATTAATGCAGAGAGTTCCAAAGGTTATGAGTGTAACAATCAAAAAAACAAGCTTTTGCCATTAACAGTACATTTATTGCCTTTGAAGTTAAGTACTGAAAATCCCAACATTCTCCCATTCCATTGAATATGTCATGGGCAGGAATCACTAAGAACAGGTGAATATCGATGCCAAGCATCACTTGACATTCTTCAAATTGTCTCAGTTTCCCAAGACTAATCACTTCTGATCAGAATAATACTTGGAAAAGCAGGTTCTTTGCTCCAATGTTATGTATTTTCCAATGAATAAACTTCAAAGAAGTGGGGCATAGGTCCTTTGGTCCATGAGCATACTCAGCCATTTATTAATTCATTGAGGTGCTTAGTCTTTTTTCTTTACATCTTGCCTCAAAGGTTTCCTTCATCAACAGCTAAATTGATTCTGAATCCATGGAAACATGAAGGCAAGATTGGTGTCTTCTTGACACTACCTTACGCTGGACAGTGGTATTAGAATTGTTTGATAAACAATCTCAGAAACCAATACACTGACTTGGAACAAAGTTGGTACCAATCTTAATCTCTGGGCCAAAGTCTTGTGGTTCACTCCACACAGGGGCTTTAATGTAGACTGACATTGCAATATAGAAATGGGCATTATTTGAAACATTGTCCTAAAGATCTTGTCCTCCAGCTTTTATGAATTTAAAGACCCAATGCTATTGTTCTGAAGCATTACGCTTAGCCGTTGTGATTAACTTTTATGGCGCATTTTACAACTGAAGTATTCACATTTCCAACAAGCAAGCAAATAATTAAAAATATAAAATTGTATATCTCTGCCTCATTTGTAAACATGAGAATGGTGATTTATACAGTAGATAAGGCAAGTAATTTATTGAAAACATAAATCATTTTTATCGAGTCTTAAGTGTGTAACAAAGGTGAAGTAACAATGAAAGCTATTTAAATTTCTGCAGTAAATATTGTGTTAAACTAAATACTGGCTCACTGAAAAATTAAGAGACATTCTTAACTTGATGAGACATTCAAATGGAAAATATATTAAGTTACTGAGAAACCAGAGGGAGATTTAACCAACTTAGAATTCATATTTCCAGAAATGGCTAACAGGACTTCAGTAGTATCATGCACACATTAGAGAGGTTTAGTAGTTGGGAAAACTATCAAAATGAACGAGCTTTATGAAAATAAATGGACTGTCCCATCCTATAAGTTCAATGTTCCCATAGCAGTTTGATTCTAAGGAGCATTATTGTGGTACATTCAATGAAAGTTGAGCCATACCAGGAACTGAATCATATAATATGATTGCTGAATGCTCTTGATGTGTAGAACTGGAAACTTTACCAATTGTTGACATATAATTGTATACTATAGTCCTATAAGCATTGAAAGTATTACATCCCTTGAATTGTCTAAAAACATCTTTAAATTTACATATTGAATATTCCTTACCATGGTAATTTTTTCACAGCATGTCTACGTATGGTAATTTTTTTTGAAAAGTCATCCACATAATATGAAATATTTTAAGGAAGATTTTCTTCAAAATTTACTTTGAAAATGTTTACTTTGGTTACTTTTTCCATATTGTTAACCGTATGGCTAATATGGTTAATTTACCTGAGCACAATATCTTTCCTGATGATTTGATTCTATACAAACATTTGGGAGAGAACAAAATTGGACTTGAGCCAAAGGGAAGAGTTTACTTTTGACAAATATTTCTACAGTGTGATCTTGACTGGAGAGTATTTACGTAACATGTGGTATTTGGTGAAATTTTTTTTAAAAAACTTAGTAAAACAGAGGCAATAGATTTGTAGCTGATGCTGTCAGCAATACATTAACACCTAATTCACCAACACTGTTGATATATGTTCTTTTCATTGGAATTTTTAAAAAAACATTCTGCAGATTATTTTTTGTCATAAGCTTATCAATGCTCTTCAGATTGCTTGTCTGCAATTGTCTAATTCTATAATGGAATCCTGTTTGAAATTCACAGATATGAAGATGTTGCTGTTGTCATTTATACTGGAGATCTCAATGTTGCTGCTGAAGAAATTCTGGATGGAGCCTACAGAAGATTTAATATCAAATTACCTCGTCCCGTTCAGTTCATTTTCCTTGAAAAGCGTTATCTTGTGGAAGCTAAGCTTTATCCGTATTTTACTTTACTCGGTCAAAGTTTGGGTTCTATGTTGTTAGGCTGGGAAGCCCTTATGAAATGTGTTCCTGATATCTTTATAGATTCTATGGGATACGCATTCACACTTCCACTCTTTAAGAATTTAGGAGGGTGTCGAGTGGGATGCTATGTTCACTATCCTACTATTAGCACAGACATGCTTTCTGTGGTGAGAAACAGGAATCCAAGGTTTAACAATGCATCTTTCATATCCAAAAATCCTATACTGAGCAACATGAAAATTCTATATTACTATGCATTCTCCTTGATGTATGGATTAGTTGGTTCCTGCAGTGACATAATAATGGTGAATTCCACTTGGACTCTGAATCACATTCTTGCTCTTTGGAAAGCAGGCAATCGAACTCATGTCATTTACCCGCCATGTGATGTTCAGGCCTTCTTGGATATTCCACTGATGGATGATAGCAAAAAGACAAACCATTCTATTGTTTCAGTTAGCCAGTTTAGGCCAGAGAAAGACCATCCTCTGCAAATCAAAGCTTTCCACCAGTTTCTGAAGATGAAGAGGACCCAGGCATTATCTGTGAAGCTAATATTGATAGGAGGTTGTCGGAACGCAGATGATGAAGAGCGAGTGTCTCAACTAAAAGAACTGTGTGAAAAGCTGGACATTAAAGACGATGTTGAATTTAAGATTAACGTCTCATTTGAAGAGCTTAAAACATATCTATCTGAAGCTACTATTGGATTGCATACCATGTGGAATGAACATTTTGGTATAGGTGAGCAAACTGTATATACCTCATTTGTAACTCTTTGTCTTTAATTTTTATATACTTGGAATTCTAGATTTTTGTGTTTTGTCACTAATTTGTGTTTATTTTTCTGCACTGGATCTATATCCAGTTTTGTCTACTTGAAAGATGTGTATGTAAAACTGAGTACTTCAAATGCTTGTGCTGACAATCTACTATTGCATTTATATAGCATCCTTCATACAAGACAGCTTCTTGGAGCACTAAATTGTGTTGGTTTAAAACCACTCTCTTGATATCCATTCTAATCTTATACTAGGATGTCCTCCCAACGTGAAAGGCACTGGACAAATATAATTTGTTGTTATTTGCACAAGTCGTATATTAGAAGGTAATACGTATTGAAACCCTCCAACAATCTTCTGTATCCAGTAGATCTGTTTGATTAAACAGAACACTGACGTCAGGTACCGGTTTTTTTCCTCTGCATTGTTACTCCAGAAGAAACGTGGAGAAAGTGAACAGAAATGTTTTTATGTTATCATTCTTAAGGTCACCTCCCTCGGTCTCAGCATCGTGCAACTGTCAGGCGTTCTAGGACGCTATCCTGGGTGCAGGGCATTACATAAAGTTGTTGTTATCTAAAATTTCTACTTGGTTTATACGAAATGTCGAACCATTTTGTTTCGGATCAACATCCCTTTTTGATTGAGTCAATTTAGGTCTCATCTGCCTTGTGATTTAGTTGGATGTGAAGGGGATTGCCTTTTCCCCCACCCCTGCCCCCATTTCTCTTTGTTAGCTTTTATTATGTGATCCAAATTCACCTGAAAGGTTCAGAAACGCTGGGCAAGTTTCCTTACTCCACATGTTTCTGTTTACCTGGTAGTAAGTCGGAACCTGGTTGTTAGTCGATTGGCAGATCGCTTTTCTTGGGGTAATAATTCCTTAAAAAAAAAAAAAATTGGTCACTTCAATCCACGACTGTTTGTGGGTCACTGCTGTGCGCAATTGGCTGCCGCGTTTCATCCGCAAAATATACATTCAATTCACTTTACAGTATATTCTGTGAAGCTCTTTGAGAAGTCTCGAAAACGTGATGAGGTGCTATATCAAATACAAGGATTATCATTTATTATTAAATATCTACTACATCTGCCTCAGTAACTTTATTTCTTATTAATCTCATTCTGTGATTGCTTAATTATATAAATGTAAACTACAGTTGAATTTTCTAAGCCTGGTGGATATAATGACTTGCAGGCCATGACTGATGCCATAATATGTTGTTTTATTGAACTGATTTTTGATTTTTTTTTCTGCTTTTTGTTTTGCAGGTGTGGTTGAGTGTATGGCAGCTGGCACCATAATTCTGTCCCATAATTCAGGAGGCCCTAAACTAGATATTGTAATAAAACATGATGGAGGTGTGACTGGTTTCCTGGCAGACACAGAAGAATGCTATGCTGAAGCTATGAATAATATTCTGTCACTGTCTTCTGAAAAAAGGCTGGAGATTAGGAAGAATGCCCGTCAGTCTGTGAGCAGATTCTCAGATGAGGAGTTTAAAGATTCATTCCTGTCTGCTATGGAGCTATTTTTAGCAAAAAAGACAATGTAATCATTAAAGAATATCTTAATTTTTCTCCCTTGGGAACAGTGTACTATCATGTGATGGTTTGTGTATGTCTGAAAATGTTTATAATATCTACATTGTAATTTGCTGTACATAAAATAGCTTGCAAGACAAACTTATATTTAACTTTTCTTTACACTGGTAGAATATTAATTGTCTGAACAATCCATTCATTGCACAATAAATATATTCTGGTATCAAACTTGCTCAATTGGTAGCTTCTGAATTATGGGTTTATAGGTTTCAGATCAACTGTTGATCTTGTATTCTAGAAACTCCAATGCAGTGCTGAGTATCAACAGGAAATCATTCAGATGAGACATTAAATTGAGGTCCCATCTGCCTGTTAAAAGATTCTGTGGCATTATTCAAAAAGAGAAGGGAGTTTCTCCTGATGTTTTTGCCAACAGTCCCCAGCAGTTGGTCATTCACTTCATGGCTGTTTGTGAGACACTGCCTTGTGCAAACTGGCTGGTGTATTTGCCTACAAAGTACATAATCTTTGCGTTACATTTTGCAGTATATCATATGAAATGCTTTGAGATGTCCTCCTGACACGAGAGGTAATATATCAAATACAAGGATTATTATTGACATTCATATCCATGGAGATTGGGTTCAAAATTCCCATGTAAGTTATTCTTCTGGCCAAAACAGCACAGTTGTCTGCATTGTGGAGTCCTGTAGCTCAGTGGTTAGAGCACTCGCTTTGCAAGCGAGAGACCCGAGTTCAATCCCAGGCAGGTCAGGGCGAAACCTTGGGCAAGTTTCCTTACTCCACACAGAGCCTAATAATAATTCCTCCAAAACCAATAATAAATTGGTCATTTTCAATCTACGACTGTTTGTGGGACATTGCTGTGCGCAATTGGCTGCCGCGTTCGCCCACAAATATACAGTCAATTCACTTTACAGTGTGTTCTGTGAAGCGCTTTGGGTACGTCCTTCCAACATGAAAAGCGCTATATCAAATGCAAGGATTATTATTATTATTAGAAGACAAAAGCATTGGTCACTGCAGGGCATACTTCTGGCAGTTGACAGCCTAACCCATCGAGTACTGTGTATTACTACATCTTTTGTTCGATTGTATTCATGCAGCCTCAAAAGCCACTTGTGATAATTAATTCCAAACAATACTTGCCCTTTGAGTGAAGAAATATTTTTGAACCGCTCCTAATTTTTCTTCCAACAATGCTGAGACAGCTCTTCTTTGTCGAATCCCCAACTATAGGAAGTTACTATTCACCTAATGTCCGTGACATGATGTGTTTACATGACATACAAAGGGCAATAGGGTTTTATTTGCTCTTATGACTGTCATATGACTTTCTAAGTAATGTCAGCTGAGGGCAAATACACTATTCCACAAACTCTTTGAAATTTTTTGCAGAATTTTTTCTGTTCTCATCCATGCTGAAATAAACGATTTCCAATAACCTTTGGAAAGGATGTTTAAAAATTCTACTTTCCGAGCAAGCTGATTGTACTCGTTTTCCCCCCTCTTTCTCCTTTGCTCCTGTTCCTTGAACCCTTGTGTATCAGCCCGGCTCAGTTCGTAACACTCTCACCTCAGTCAGACAGTTGTCGGATCAAGTTCCATGTCAGGACTTTGAATTCATTCAAGGCGTACTGTTTAATGGAATCATGGGGATGGGCTGCATTGTTGGAGGTGGTGTTCTTCAGATGAGATGATAAACCGCAGTCCTATCTGCCTCTTTGAGTGGTTGTTAAGGTTCCAGTGGCACGACTTGAAAAGAGAAGAGAGTCTCTGGTGTTGTGGCCAACAATTTCTCAAATAAATTGGTTACTTCATGGCTGTTTGCAGGAGATTCCTATGTACAAATTGGCTGCTGCGTTCACCTACAAAATAGTGCACTGCGCTGTATGAACATAAGAACATAAGTTCATGGCTGATCTTCTAACCTGTATAGCCTATGAAGCGCTTTGAGATGCCCTCCTGATGTGAAAGGTGTTATGTTAAATGCAAGGATTATTAGTATATTATTCTTAAACCAGGATAATATCTCTATCCTCCTTCCTGGACTAATATAGATTTACAGCCTTGCAAGAACAAGAACAATTAAGCTTGACATTTCCCTGTGAAAACCACGTTAAACTCCAATAAAATTCATACTTACATAGAGCACCTTTCATGTCAAGAAGGATTTCCCAAAGTGCTTGAGGGTGGGGAGAGTAAATATTACCAAAAGCACAGTGAAAGAGGCATGTTTGGACACACCTTGAAAGAGGGGAGGGAGGGAGCAAGTCATTGCAGTCATATAACTAAACACTACTATATAATAAAATTACATTTGTATAGCGCCTTTCACGTTGGGAGGACATCCAAGTCGCTGGACAGTCAGGGATTTGGACCTGTGCAGGGAGGTTGGGATCAGCGAGGGTGGAGGTTGGCTGAAGGTGCCGTCGAAGAGGAGGATCTTGAGACTTGCCTTGAAAGACGCAAGGGAGGAAGCGAGGCGAAGGGAATGTGGGCTGGAGTTCCAAAGGGTGGGGGCAGAGAGGCTGAAGGCCCTGCGCCTAAGATGGGGTGGGCCGGGCGGGGGACTTGGAGCAGACACCTGCTGAGAGGTGGGCGCGGATAGGTTGAGATGGGGTTAGCAAGTCACAGAAGCAGAAAGGAGTAAGGTGTATGAAGTTATTCTTTCTTGAAACTAAGTACATTTTGTGGACATTACATCAATGTAAGCAGCTTTTTGAAGTGCTAAAGGGTGTGCTGCAGATTTTATTTTTGAGAGCTTCAAAACACTTGGGTAAACACAGTAAATTTTTAAAGTGTTTTTTTACAGCAGTTTATTTTCAGTGCATTTTCCTATATACACAATTGGAACTGGTTGCAAGTGAGTTACACAAGGCTAAGTGTTTTATAACTGTAACTGTAATTTATTCTATTCAAAAACATTCACAAAAAGCATGTGTGAATATGGCTCTTTGGCATGTATGCTGTGAGGAGGCTATGAATTTAAATTGCTCTCAACATAATACCTTTGACGCAGATGAATGAATGGTTTCACTCACCTTGCTGGTCAAAGGCATGCTTTCATCATGCCTTTTAACAGGATATTTGCTGGAAACATCATAAGGCAATAACACTAAAAGAAACATTGTAAGATCTCACTCCAGGCAAACATGCCATAAATGCAAGTATATGTTGCATACATTTACAAACATTTTGTTCCTGGGAGTGAATTGTTATATACTCTTTCCATTGCTGCTTTATCCTTCTTTAACCAGAAGAGAATTGGACACAATACTCCAAACATTGTTTGGCTGCAGTATATTCTGTGAAGTGCTTTGAGACATCTCGAAGACGTGATAAGGCGTTACATCAAATGCAAGGATGATTATTATTAAATTATTATATATCCCCAAGTGAATTTGAGTTCAAGAGCCTCATTCTTGGGTTCAAATCCTTCCACAGTCTCGCCCCGCCATACCTCTGCCAACTCCTTCAAACACACTGACTGGACTATTCCCTTTGCTCAGCAAATACTAACCTGCGTCTGGTCCCCCTCCCTTTCCACCTCACCATCAGTACACACTCTCCAGGCAACATCAGTCACCACATACCAAACAGGAGTGGAAACTCCAGCTGAATTTTACCCTCCCTACTCAGGATCAAGCCAATGGTAGTATTGTTACACTTGCAGTTCATATCAGTTTATTTAATATCTTTTCATTTTATATAGCACCTTATTATATCGCTGAGATGTCTCAAAGCACTTCACAAGATATATGGTAAAGTGGTGTGACTGGGTATTTTACGGGTGAAACATGGGAGCTAATTTGCACACTTAAATGTCCCGAAACAGCCAAAGAGTGAATGACTAATTGTATTTGTATGGTTGTTGGCCAGGACCCTGGGAGAAACTCTCTTCTCTGACATCTCTAGCATAACAACAACAATAACTTGTATTTATATATCGACCCTCATGCAGGATAGCATCCCAGAGCGCGACATCACAAACATGTGATTGTGACAGGAACCTTCCTCATCTGTATGGTTTATTTATTCTCAACGTTAAGATAGACAAAGTCACAAAATATGTTAAATTTAGATTTTCTTTTGATCTATTAATGACCGACAAAATTATATTCAAATATCAGTATATTTGGAATTCTGTTTAAAGATAACAGTGATCTATTTTCAATAATACATTACAGTGGAGAACATTGTTTTTGTGTGCTGAAACTCAATGAGATAACATTGATTGCCAATTTACTTTCGAATCTTCATTTCCAGCATTCCTAACAAAAACTAGAATTGATGATGACACAGTGCTTAAATAATACTAGCAAATAATACAGCCGGTTCTGCAATAGGTCAAATGCTGAACGTGGCAGTATCTGCCATAAATTATTTCGAAACTGAAAACTACAAAATTCAAACAAAGGCATTCATTTTCACAGATCAATAAGAACATAGGAATTGCTATGACGAAAAAAGACAACGGTCCATCCAGTCCATCTACCATCCTGGTAGTCGCATGCTACGATAATGGAGATGTTAATAGCAATTCATTCTCTATGGATTAGTCTACCAACAAAACAAACAACATTTGTATAGCGCCTTTCATGTCAGAAGGACGTCCCAAGGCACTGGGCAGTCAAGGATCCACACCCGAGCTGGTGATTGGGATCAGGAGGGGTGGAGGGCAGGGAGGAGGGTACACAGTGGAAAGCTTTGGGAACCTTAGCTCCAAAGTTGCCTAGTTTTCCAAAGTTTTCAGCGCCTTGGGACGTCCTCCCGACGTGAAAGGCGCTCTATAAATGGAAACTTGTTGTTGTTGTAGTTTTTCCAAGCATACTATACTTACTGTATATCATGTCTATATATAATAATAATCCTTGCATTTGATATAGCGCTTTTCACGTCTTCTAGACGTCTCAAAGCGCTTCACAGAGTATACTGTAAAGTGAATTGACTGTATATTTGTGGGCGAACGCGGCAGCTAATTGCGCACAGAAATGTCCTACAAATAGTTGTAGATTGAAAATGACCAATTTATTGTTTTTTTTGTTTTGTTTTTTAGAGGGATTATTATTTTGTCAGGTATTTTAGCTTTTTCTTAAGAAAATATGAAAGAATGCAAAAATCACTTGTATTGTGTCTCCAAAATTGTCAACACTTGTTTCTTGATACTGAGAAAAATGGCAGTAATTGTAACCTTAGGGCATGAGGCAGCTGTCTTGGACCAAAAATGAACAACATTATTGCACGCATGTGAAACTGCTGAGTGTCTTATCAATTGATTCGTTTTCTATAGATTGCGATGTAAATTTGAAACTTGCTAATCTTTCCTGTCTGCAGGCACAATCCACATTGTTCAATTAATTTTATAAGCATGGCAAATGAAGTCACAATTGGTCTTTTCCAAATGATTTTTTCCCCCACCCTGTCACCAGCAAATTAGTGGTAGGCATTGTAACTTTAATGTATTATCTGATATATTAATAGGTGAAATATTTCTACCAGCGACCAATCTTTATTAAACTGCTGTATATTTTAGGGGCAAGAGTAATAATAATTTCAGTGTACTGACTGATTGGCAATGGCAAAGCGGTCTCGGTGGTTGCCTTGGAATTTACAAGTAGTCAAACAGAAAATGGTCCTAATGGCCTTCCACTGTGTCATTGATTTCTACACAGTCTTAATTTGGAATCGGGTTTTTCAGCACAGCATTCGTGAGGCTTTCCTTCAGTACCTGTGGCAGTAGATTCCTCCTGACCTTCTTCCCTTCCCCTTTCTTCGACGGATGCAATTCTGTGAATTTCCTCCCTATCACTACCTTCTGCCTTGTCGTCTGGAGAAGCAATTAGCTGTTCCAACGATTCCACTAGTTCCTCTACCAGTTCATCCTCTGATTCTTCAAAATTTCTAGAAGAAGAAGTTCAAATATCAATAGGACTCCTAAATCAATTACGTAGACAATGCCAAATAATAATAATAAATAATCCTTGCATTTGTTACAGCACCTATATCGTTGCAACATTTCAAAGAGCTTCATAATGAATTGCTGTCAAGAGTAGCAAGAGTAGGCAAAGGCGGAAGCCAATTTGCTTATAGCAAAGTCCCACAAACACTCTTAAAGTCAATGACCGATTTATCTGAAGGGCATTTGGCTTGACATTTGGAGAAATTCCCTTCTCTTTTTGAAGTGTCATGGGATCTTTAACATCCACCTGAACAGTCGCACACCTCATTTGAAGGAAGTTCACAACAACAATTTGTCCTTAAATAGCATCTTTCACATAAGAACATCTCAAAGTGCTTTATAAAAAAAATAATAAAAATAATAATCCTTGCATTTGATATAGCGCTTTTCACGTCTTCTAGATGTTTCAAAGCTTTTCACAGAATACACTGTAAATTTAATTGGTTGTATATTTTGTGAGCAAAATGTGGCAGCCAATTGCGCACATCAGTGTCCCACAAACAGTCATGGATTGAAGTGACCAATTTATTATTGTTTTTTTTGAGGGATTATTATCAAAACAGAAGAGACGGAGCACTTGCTCCCAGGGAGATGGGATGGGGGCCACAGTCAAAGAGATGGGTCTTGAGAGCAGAAAGAGAGGGGAAAGGTGGAAGAATTTGGGAACAGAGTTTCAAAGTGCACGACCAAAGTGGCTGAATAGCTCACCCGCCGAGTTGGGGTGGAGCAGGCAAGGAATATAAAACAAGCAGGTGTGGAAATATAATTTGAACTCTCACATAACTGGTTAAAAACATCTTGCAATACAGTGTAAATAGTCCTTCACCTCCTGGCTGCATACTGTCCTCTGTATCAGTAAAAATTGGTAAGCCTACCAACTCTTGGCAGCAAATTAAAAGATCTCCTTTAAGGTCTTTCCTACCTCACTAAAACTAATTGGTAAGGAGTATCGCTACGTTTGACAAATTTAATTGACAGACAATGCAAAGCCATGCAAGAGTAAAAAACTACTAATTAGGAAAATTGAAAAAAAGTATTCACGTGAACAAACTATTTTGGTTGGATAAGATTTGTGTATCATGTATTCTAAAAATATATATATACTCTGTATAATCACATAAAATTGGAAGTTGTCCTGCTCGGATATTGTAACCTGAAACGACCTCTTCCCTCACTGCAGCGGTCAATAAAGCTTACAATGGTTGGTTGTTGAAACTGTCTTTGAATTGTGTTTTATGTAGCACATCTAGCCACGACACAGGGTAGAGCAAGAGAGAGAGAGGGGAGTAGATACCTACAGTGTGGGAGATAACAAAAGCACAGATACAAAGAGCAAAATGGCCTTGAGATTTATGTAGCATAAGCTGTTGAATTTTTTTTGGCACGTACAAATGAAAAGATTTTGTTACATTTCACAATTGAATAATCGCAGGCTAGAATATTAGCGGTGTCAACTCACGTGTCATCATCATCGGATCTGGGCTCCAGCCGTTCCTGATCTTCTTCCACATCAGAGGCAGAATCTGACTCTGGATCATTGTGCTCTTCCTTTGACTTCAAAGACTTCAATCTGTTATCTGTTGAACAGAAAATATAGGTAAATGGATAGATTGCACTATGTATGAGGACCTTGAAGCACAGTTCAATGCACAAGTCGCTGTTGTGCTCTTAATGTGAGCCTCCATGTAACAAACTAGTAGCACAACTGGAACACATTATAAAATAATAATAATCCTTGCATTTGATATAGCACTTTTCACGTCAGGAGGACGTCCCAAAGCGTTTCACAGAACACATTGTAAAGTGAATTGACTGTATATTTGTGGGCGAACGCGGCAGTCAATTGCGCACAGCAATGTCCGACAAACAGTCGTAGATTGAAAATGACCAATTTTATTATTGTTTTGTTTTTTTGGAGGGATTATTATTAGGCGTGTGGAGTAAGGAAACTTGCCCAAGGTTTCGCCCTGCCTGTAATTGAACTCAGGTCTCTCGCTTGCAAACCGAGTGTTCTAACCACTGAGCTACAGGACTGCAACATTGGTCGATAAATAATAATAATAATCGTTGCATTTGAATTAGCATTTTATCACTTCATTGAGACAAAGCACCTCACAGAATATAATGTAAAAAGTTAATTGGTTATATTTTGTGGGCAAAATGCGGCGGCCAATTGCACACATCAGTCCCACAAGCAGTCGTGGACTGAGTAACCTGATTATTATTTTTAAAACAATTATGCATGGGCTGGAGGGACGAAACAGAAGAGGGACAAAATACCAGCAAGGAGATTTTACCCTGCTTTTTTTAAAAATGATCTGTGTGAAGCAGGTTCCATTAGTCAGATGCAGTTTATTTGTAGAGCTTATAAGTGCTTCTGTGCATAGGCTGAACTAAAGGAAAACATAACTGAAACAAAATGTAGTTAAAAACTACAAATAAGGTACTACACACGGAAATATTTCCCTGGAATAGTGTTTGAAGAGCTGGCTCAATATACAAACATTCTGTTTCTTCAGTTTTCATCTGAGACATGTTTCCAAAATAATGCTACGCATTTGTGTGTGAATCAGAAAAGGCACAATTAATTAAGGAGATATTTTATCATCTTACTTTTTCAGAACTGCTCTGAAATTATAATGAGTTTTCTGTTTGAAATTAAACAGAATTCATATTTCCATTGCCAGCTATTGTATATTTATGCAATATTGCAAATAAAATGATAATTATTAAAATGTAGACATCAAATTTCAATCTGTTGATTAATGCTTTATCGTAGTACAAAGGATATACCAAATGTGAGTCAAACAGAAGATTTTTGGCACCTACAAAGTTTTCAAGCTGTTTTACTTATGACAAATATGGTTTACTGCAACAACAACAACAAGATTACATTTGTATAGCTCCTTTCACATCGGGAGGACGTCCCAAGGCGCTGGACAGAGTACAGTATTTCAGACCCAAGCTGGGGTTGGGGTGGGGGTGGGGGGTTAAGGGAGGGGAGGGGAAGGGGGGTGGCCGATGGCATGGTCGAAGAGGAGGCTCTTGAGGCAGGACTTGAAGGAGGCTAAGGAGGTGGTGAGGCGGAGTGACTGGGAGATGCAATTCCAGAAGTTGGGGGCAGAGTAGCTGAAGGCTCTCCCGCCAATGGTGGGGCGGGTGGGTCGGACGTGGAGCAGCCAGAGCCGGCTGAGCGGAGGGAACGGGCGGGTTGGTAGGGGGTTAGGAAGTCGCAGAGGAGGGTGGGGCGAGGCCATGGAGGGCTTTGTATGTAAGGACCAGCATCTTGAACTGGATCCTCTGAAGGATAGGGAGTCAGTGGAGTCGGGGGAGAATGGGGGAGATGGGGTCACGGAGCTTCGTGCAGGAGAGGACACAGGCTGCAGAGTTCTGGATTATCTGCACCCTGTGGAGGGAGGAGTTGGGAAGGCCAACAAGCAGGGCGATTGCATAGTCGAGCCTGGAGGTGATGAAGGCATGAACAAGAGTTTCAGCGGCCTGAGGGGTGAGGTAGTGGCGGAGTTGGGTGATATTACGGAGGTGAAGGAAGGCAGAGCAGGTCATGGCTTGAATGTGGGGGAGAAAAGACAGTTGAGGGTCGAACAATACCCCTAGGTTCCTGACTGGCTTGGTGTTGTAGTGTGCAATCATGGAGGTTGATGTTGCCAGAGCCTGAGGTGCTGACGCGCAAGCCTATCAGGAGGGCCTCAGTCTTGTTCAGGTTCAACTGTAGAAAATTTGCCCTCATCCAGGACTTGATGTTTATAATAATCTTTGCATTTAATATAGCACCTTTAAATGCTGAAATGTCTCAAAGCGCTTTGCAGGTATTTGGTGTAAAGTGTAATAACTGCATATTTTGTAGACAAAGGCAGCTGCCAATTTTGGGCACAGAAATCAATCATTAAGTGAATGACAACAACAACAACATGCATTAAGATGCAGTATAGCATCATGGATAACAAACAAATTTATCTAGAGCATTGTTGGCCAAGACATAGGGAGAAACTCCCATCTCTTTGCCAATAGTGTAATGGATCTTTATCGTACATCTGAACAGGCAGAAGAGGCCTCACTTTGTTTATCATCTTATTGAAAAGCACCTCTGACAAGGCAGCCCACCCACAGTAATGTACTTGAGTGCCAGCCAAGACTGTGACAAAGCCCTGATGGGAAGGCTTGGACATACAGCCTTCTGATCCAGAAGCACTACCAACTGAGCCAAGATCAATTAGTGTCAATGTCACAAAGAAAAAAAACTTGTATCTGAAAGTCTAGACTTCAATTGCACAGTTTTGCTGTGATATTGTCTATTACGTTGTTTTTGCATACACACATTTGCTTATCATATCATACCAATGTTATCTGTCGACATAGCTGGGCAAAGTGATAGTTCGGCAGCTGCAAGGGCATTCAGCAAGGTATCCGGCGATCCTGATTCCCATTGCTTCCTGTTTTTTGGAGTACTTCCTACCATCACTTCGACCTGGTCAGTTTCAGAGGTGGCTAAGGAAAGCAGAAAAGCGTACATACATCAGAAGACATTCAAAGCATGAAATTACATAAATTTATACGGAACGGAAATAGGCCATTTTGACAAACTAGTCAATGCTGGTGTTTATACACCATCCCTCCTATTCCCCTGTCCCATATTTCTCTACTCCCTTCAACCTCATGTATGCATCAAGTTTCCTCTTCAATGCTCAGTTACTGCTAAACACCAAATAATAGAAGGAGACTACTTGGACCTTTAGGAAGATAAATGTAGCAATTGGAAAAGACAAGTCTTGCTGGGTTTCCTATTGGACTAACGGTATTGGCACTGGCTGGTGCAGGATTAAGCCATACAGGCCAAAAGGTTGCAAATTTGAATCTTACTCTGTGCTGACCTTAAGCACGCCGAGCTACTACCCTGAGTGAAGGACGCTATATAAATGTAAGGTGTTGTTGAATTAGTTGATCTCAGCCAAACATCCATTTGGGGCACTAAAACTGATCATATGGTATGAGGAGAAAGCAGTAAATATCAACCTGTCCGCTCCCTCCGCTCAGCAGGCTGTGGCCTGCTCCATGTCCCCCACCCGGCCCGCCCCACCATCGGCGGTCAGGCCTTCAGCCTTTCTGCCCCCACCCTTTGAAACTCCATCCTACATTCCCCCAAAAATGTCACACTCAGTGTCAGGATAATAGATATCTAATGGCCAGTTTATATGCCTTTCTTCGTTGTATTTTTTCAAAAGTGGAGCCTCATTATAAGGCAATAATTGGAGTCCTTAGCCTTACAACTCTGTGCATGAAAAACATTTTCCTAACCTCCCCATGAGCTCATTTACTAACTATCTGAAATTGATTCCCAATGACTCAACAAGGAAATAATTTCTCTCTGTTGATTATATCAAAATTCCTCATAATTTTAAAGATCTCTATCAGCCTTCTTTGTTCCAATGGAAAAAAGGTCCTTTCCTCCACTCTCACTCGAAAGCCAAATCACCCAACGCCCGTTATCACCTTAGTAAATCTCTTTTTCACCCCCCTTTATTGCCTTGACGCCTTTCCTAAAGTGGGGTGAGCAAAACTGGACACATTAGGAATAACTGCTTCTAACTATTGATTGTGTTTCTAACTGTTGATTGTGTTTAGCAATACAATACATTTACATAGAGGATTTCATGTCGGGAGGACATTGCAAGGTGCTTGACAGTCCTGGTTTGGCCCCGAGCTAGGGGTGGGGGAAATGGGGAAAGTGGGAGGAGGATGGGGCTGGGATCATGCCTTATAATAAGATTGCATTCGTGAAGCCAACTGACTCGCTTTGTGGCATTAGGTCAGTTCTTGCATCAAGAAAATGGTTGATTTCCAACTCATCAGATCATTGCCAACATCGCTTCCTATGTGCTGAGATTTGCATCTGAACCTTTGAACTCTGATATAAGTTGAGAGGTTGGAATGAAGAGACAGCCATGACTTGAAAAAACAATTATTAGAGAATGAATCAAACCTGCCGTTGGCTTGTTCATTGACATTCCCTGGTATAAATTCTCCAGATGTTTCTCTACCCTCAGCAACCACCGGGAATTTTTTATGCTTTGAATCTTACAAAGAAAGAGTATATTCCTCTTACAAAAAATGTACATCATGGAAACAGGCCACACGGCTTAACCAGTCCGTGCCAGTGTTTATACTCCACACCCATTCCTTACGCCATCCCATACCCTTCTATTCCCCTCTCCCTCACCTGAAGGTCTAGCTTCCTCTTGAATGCATTTATGCTATCTGCTTGAATCCTCGCTTCAGGCAACAAGTTCCACAATCTCATTACCTTCTGCATGAAGTAGTTCTTCCTAAATTCTCTTTTAGATCTGCTAGTCACTTTATTATATTTGTATTCTCTGGTTTCGGATTCCCTAACCAGTGGAAACTGCCTATTTGTGTCAACCCTATCGAACGAACCCTTTTATAATTTTAAACAGATTCATCTAATTAGAGTAATCTCGTAAATATCTCTTCTCTAGCGAAAAAAGGTCTTATCTAGCCAGTCTATCCTGACAGCAGTAACATGCCAGCCATGGTATCATCCTCGTGAACCTACACTGTACTCTTTCTATTGCTGCTATATCCTTCTTATGTAGTGTGGAGAATTGGAGACCAGTTGGTTTACCACATGATACTTGAAAATAAACCATTAAACCATTGTCTTATCACAGTCTAACAGCAACACAGTATAGTTATTCAGGGGTAATTTGTTTTAAATCAGCAACAAACTGAACCAATTCTGTCCATGGAAAGTAGCACGTTGCACTTAAAATATATACACACTAGAAAATCCCAATAAACCACAACCTCAGTTATACATAATATGCATGGTCTACAGTTTCAGGAAGGAATCATAATAATGCCATCTCTGTAACAAATTTATTGCTGGAATGTAAATTCTTCTTAGTGTCAAAGAAAGGGCACCCTGTACAATCCATACACAGCACACACAATGTGTAGAAACCTGATACCACTTGCACAAGAAACACAGTGCAATGTTCTAGAAGATTGTTTAGCTGTTTATTGATATGAAATATTCACACACTCACACACCCACACAGACACACACAAGCTGGGTCCCCTTGTTGCTGAGCTGGCCATAAGGTGACCTGCTTGGTAATGGAACATCGGAATCAAGTCAAGCCTCTGTGGTGGTCTCAATAGATCAGTTTCTGAACCAAGCAAGGTCCACATTATTCCTGGGCACTGCTGGGCTGATAACAAACCAGCCAGACTGGATCATTAGCAAGAGTGGAGGGGCAGATCAGTCACTGGGATCAGGTTTTCTTTCCACTCAGCTCCTGATAACCCTGCAAGCCCAAACCATAACGGGTAGGGTGGTCCTAGTTAGACAAGCAGCAGAAAGCTTGCCAGACAGTGCTGCTCTCAATGACAAGCTATGCGGTTTTAGCTAATTAAACCAGCAGTATCACAACACACTCTAGGGTGCCCAAGTCCATTCCTCCTGGGTGGGGTGGGGGGAGAGGTGGTCAGTAGGATTTCCTTGGAGCTGCTTCCTTTGCCAACCTGCACCTAATATTCCCCAGAACTATGTAAGCTGTACAAATGGTGATGGGTTTCCGCATGTGTCAGCTGATGAAAACAAAACAGACTTACACTTACGTTTCACCCACAAATATACGGTCAATTCACTTTACAGTCTATTCCGTGAAGCAATTTGAGATGTCGAGAGGATGTGAAAAGCTCTATATCAAATGTAAGGATTATTATTATTTATTATTATATATGGAGTCGTTTTGTGGATGTGAAATGTATTAACTGATTGAAACCTAAAGAACAGATAATGAAATTACTACACACCTTCCATCTGCGAAGATGTTTCTTCCAGAGTTTTGTTTGCAAGGCCTTTGAGTATATTTTCTGCTCCAATACATTGCCACTTCCTCTCTTTAAGGTGGTCTCCTTGTTCATACGTCAGCGTTTCATTTAAAATGTCCATTTCCTATCATATACAGCATTTGTATTAGCTGGGTATTAATATCACAACAAAGACTTTAAGACTTTTACTCCACGGTGTGCCTCTAACTCGCTTCCTCCCTCCCTCCCTCCCCACTTTAAAAGCCCCAAGACTTAACTCTTTGATCATGTTTATGGTCATCTTCTTCTCCCATCACCAAGCCTCTTCAGCTCCCCCCATCCCCACCCTCCCGGCTCGGGTGCCTAGGTCAGCCAGCTGTTAGTCCTTTGAGACGTCCTCCCCATTTGAAAGACGCTGTACAAATGTAAATTGTATTTAAATACGTTTTATGGCTTGCGTGCAAACCATTATCAATCACCACACTTGCCTCCTCCTGCTGGTTAGAATGCTTTTCCTCTTGTTCAGAATCTTTCTGAGGCAACTCTCCATCCAACTTTATCTCAAACATTATCCCACCCTATTTGGAAAAACGAAATGTGCTTACAGCATGGTGTGTTACGAAATATCTTACATGTCTGAAGACTCTGATTGAGATACCAACCCTCATTCGGTGAATGGCAGGTACCAGGGACTCCTTGCTAGCTTCCTGCGGTGCAGCAAAGCTCAGCATGAAATGCATGATGGCGTTGCCACCTTCTTGCTACCCACACTCGGACACACATCCCTACCCACCTGGTGATGGTGGCACTAGTTAGGAGTGTGGAGCTTGAGGAGCATCTGCTTACCTCTCTGCAAACTAATCAAGGGGGATACCAACCCCTGGATATATGAGTAGGTGTTCGTGAACCCAGACTCTAGAATCCAGCAACTATCAACCCAAGCCTCAGAGTTAAACCAAGGTCCTCTCTGCCTTTTCAGAGGACACTGAGGAACCCATAGCACCATTCAAAATGAGAAGGAATTTCTCCTGGTATCCTGACCAAAAAAATCCCCCAGATAAACCTGGTCATTCACTTTATGACTGTTTGTGGTACACTGCTGTGTGTCATTTGGCTGCTTACAATTAAAATATGCTCCCTACGTTTTACAGAAAACTCTTGTTAAAAACTCCTCTCCTTCATTTGCCCATTTTTAAAGCCCAGCTCTTTGATCATCGCTCCACTCCCTCCACCCTTGGATCAGGTGCCGAACTAGCTATCCCCCAAATAATTGTATTTTATTGAAGCTCTGTGAGGAATGGTTGGCAGACCTTCCAGGCTGTTTGTCTCCATTCTCTTGAACTCCATCCCATGGTTTGTCCAATGCGCTCCTCTCCACAGCACCTCGTTCAAGGTCCATCTTAAGACCTACCTCTTTGACCACAATTTTAGTCATCGTTCCCCTCCCTACTCTCCTCTGGGCCCATCCCAAGCTTGGATGCCCAGCCAGTACTGTTAAGTGCCTTCGGATGACTTCCTGACTTGATGTAAATTTCTATTGCATTGTAATATCAGTACCATTTACCTTTACTTTGTACTTGTTCTCAAGTGCCTTCATTTCCACCTGGTGGTGAAGTCTCACTTGTTTGAGATCATCTTCAACAACCTGCAGAATGTAAAAAGTGAGTGAACGAAAACTGTATAATGAGATGAGTAGCCAATCATTTTGAATATTCTCTTTACACTTCTTTTAAATGCATAAATAATAATAATAAATTAAATATTTATAACAGTTAGTCAGGCTGATACTATTTATATTTACGCATTAAGAAAACTTAATAACTAGCCCAACATCTAACCCAATGGATTATAAACAACACGCAAAGTTAGTGCACATTTTCATCTCAACAAGGTCAAGTCATGTTTAATATTAAAATGTACAAACCAGTGGTCCACCCATTGCTGTGCTTGGCATAATCTTTAATGGAAGGATGCCATACCTGAATAGGACTTTTATTTCTGCATGGCTCCTGTGGTTCAAACAATTCATCTGCAGGTTCCTCTCGATCAACAAGATACGTCTCAGCTGGATTCTAGGTAACACACACAATGAAGTACACAAGCTCACACAAAACCATTAACTAGATAGAAATGAGCATTTTCATACAAGCAACTTTGTTCTCCCCTCTTTCCCCCCTTTTCCACTATCAAAACTATTACCTAACTGACCCCCCCCCCCCACCCCCATCAGCCACGCTAAATCATTCATGTGTGGGTTATAGATAATGAGACAAGTATACAGCCTTACCTCTTTTGCTTCCATTTTGATTTTAATTTCTTTTACCTCGCACTGATACTGTTGCCTTATTTTCTTTAACTGCTGGCGATATTCCTAAGATATAAAAGATTCATGTTCCAGTTGTCTGAAATCACACTTCTTCCACATTAGTCATAACAAAGATCATGAGCATGGGGTTACTTTCTCCATGTTTATTGCTGCCACTGAATTCACTCTATAATCTATTTATCCCTTACCGCAATAAATCTAATAAACATGAAAAAGTAATTTTTTGAAAATATGCAAATACCCAATACTCTGATAACAAGGATAGAATTGATCATCAGCCTGGTGCAGCGGTAGAACTTTTGCCTCTAAATCAGAAGGTTGTGGGTACATACAATCACATCGTCTGAGCTGATACTCCAATTTGGAGTCCTGTAGCTCAGTGGTTAGAGAGACCTGGGTTCAATTCCAGGCAGAGGGCGAAACCTTGGGCAAATTTCCTTACTCCACACACCTAATAATAATCCCTCCAAAACAAAGCAATAATAAATTGGTCATTTTCAATCCATGACTGTTTGTGGGACACTGCTGTGCGCAATTGGCTTCTACGTTTCGCCCATAAATATACGGTCAATTCACTTTACAGTCTATTCTGTGAAGCGCTTTGAGATGTCAAGAAGACGTGAAAAGAGCTATATCAAATGCAAGTATTATTATTATTATTAATGCAGCGTTGGGGATGTAATGCATTGTCGCAAGTGTCGTCCTTTGGATGAGGTCCCATCTATTTGTTCAGTGGATACTCTATTCGAAAAGAGAAGGGACTTTCTCCCGAGGTCCTAGCCAATGATCCCTCAAATAAAATTGGTCTTTCACTCCATGGCTGTTTGTGGGACATCGCTGTGTGCAAACTGGTTCTCGCATTTTGCTCACAAAATACAGTCAATCCATTTGCTGTATATCCTGTGAAGTGCATTGAATGCCTCGATGACGTGATAAGGCTCTATACCAAATGCAAGGAATATTAATCCTTATTACTAATTATAGAAGACAATGGGTATAGAAGATACTTGTGTATCTTCTATAATAATAATCCTTGCATTTCATTTAGCACTTTTCATGTCAGGAGGACATCTCAAAGTGCTTCACATGATTCACAGTAATGTGTAGTGACTTTGGATTTTGTAGTCAACCCCTATGCCCTCCATTAGAGTTTAAAGCAGAAATCCATCCATCGGATAAGAAGATAAAATGAGGTCTCGCCTATTTGCTCAGGTGGATGTTAAAGATCTTATAATACTGTATAAGAATAAGAAGTTCTCCCGATGTCCTAGAAAACAATCCCCCAGATAAAATTGGTCATTCACTACATGGCTGTTTGTGAGACATTGCTATGGACAAATTGGCTGCCGCATTCACCTACAAATACACCACACTTTACAGTAAACTCCTGTGAAGCACGGCCCCCTGACATGAAAAGTTTACCAAATGTAAGGATTATTATTACTCTTTATATAGAGACCTCTGCGAGTGGTAGCGTCTCTGAGCACTGATCTTGGCCAATGGTTCCTGTGTCCTGGGCAACAATTCTCCAGATAAATCGATCACTCAGTTGATTGCAGTTTGTAGGAGTTTGCTGCGCGCAAACTGACCTCAAATACAGATTCACTACACTTGACAGTATTTCTCCGAGAAGCACTTTGAACATAATAGGCACAAAATCAAATGGAAGGCTTACCTCATCTTTCGTTCCTTTTTTCTTAGCTTGTTGCTCAGTACACTGTGGAGCCTGCAGATGCTGTCTCTGCAATCGATCTTGATGAGGGTCTGATGAACCTGGGCGTATTCCCTGGGGAATGCAATGCAGCAAGTCCGTAACTTTTTTTTGAAAAAGGACTTTTTATTAGACGAGCTAAACTAAGAGATCCAATATTTGTATAATCGACCTCGCCTTCAAAGTCCTCCACGGCCTTACTCCTCCCTACCTTTGAGACCTGCTAACTCCATATAGATCTGACTGCTTCCTCCGCTCAGCCTGCCCCACCATCGGGGCAGTCGGGTCTACAGCCTTTCTGCCTCCACCCTGCCTCCTTCAAGGCCAGTCTCAAGTCCCTCCTCTTCAACCCTGCCTTCGGTCACTCACCCTCCTACCACTACCCTCCCTGCCCACCACCCCTCTTGATCCCAACCCCCAGTTCGGGTCCAAATCCCTGATGGTCCAGCGTCTTGGGATGTCCTCCCATCATGAAAGGTGCTATACAAATGTAATTTGTTGTTGTTTCAATCCACCTACCAATTGTTTTTCCGCCTTGATTTTGTACTGCTGTGCTTCCAGCTTTCTCTGAAGGTATTCTTCGTGCACTCCAACTGGCCTGAAATGGACAAAAGTTCCTTTTTGGACTTCATGAAACTCCAGCAATCCCTCCAAATATAAATTGCTCATTCATTTCATTGCTTTTTGTGGGACATTGCTGTGGCAAATTGGCTGCCATGTTCACCCACAAAAATACACAAGTCACTGCACTTTTAATATATCCAGCGAAGCACTTTGGGAAGTCCTCCCAATGTACATAATGTAAGGATTATTACGATCATTATTATAACCAAATTAAAATTTTGTTCCAAGAGTTATTTTCTTTCGTTCGTCAAAACTCCTAATAATTGTGTTGTATGCACATTAGTGCTGCAGTGCACAGGATGGGTGTGAGTTTGAGTGTAGCAACTAACCCTCTGAAGGGTGGGAGGACCATTCCCAAACCGCTCTTACATACCCCCTAGTGGCTAACACTGGGAAGTGTGTCACAGTCACATTCAAGCAGAAGCCTGGGGGTATTTTGGAAAATTAATAATAATAATTTGGTCACTCAATCCACGACTGTTTGTGGGACACTGCTGTGTGCAATTGGCTGCCATTTGTCCCCATAAAATAGCCATTTGATTCACTTTACAATATATTCTGTGAAGCGCTTTCAGATGTCTCAACGAAGCAATAAGGCGCTCTATCAATAATAATAATCCTTGCATTTGATATAGTGCCTTATCACCTCTTCAAGAAGTCTCAAACGCTTCACAGAATATATTGTAAAGTGAATTGACTATATTTTGTGGGCCAAATGCGTCAGCCAACTGCTGGATTGAGTGACCAAATTATTTTTATTTTGAAGGAATTATTACGCCCGGAAAAGCATTCCGCCAATCGACTAACAACCAGATTCCTACTTACTGCTAGGTAAACAGAGACGTACGGAGTAAGAAAAATTGCCCAACGTTTCACCCTGCCGGGAATCAAACCCAGTTCCTCTCGCTTGTGAGACGAGTGCTATAAATTACAGGACTCCATCAAATGCAAGGATTATTATTATTATCATAATTATGCTCTTTTAAAGAGCGATGCTTTCAGTCCCATTTACTTGCCCTTTCCCCATATTCCTGTGACTATAACCTGAGTTCTGCATTGGACAGTGTGTTACATTAAACCTTGAAACTACTGGAAAATTACAGTTCTACATACCATTGGGATGGATCACGATTCATTTTATGCCTGTAACCTTCCATTACATAGTTGTGATGAGGTCCCGGTGGAGACCTATGGTCATCTTGTCTCTTCTCCAAGTACTCCAGATAAGCATGGTATTTACCATACTGCCCGCGGATCTGTGGAGGCGGCAGTTTTGCTACCGGTAGATGGTGAAATGGCTGAAATTGTTTGCAAAAGTTAGAAACTTTTCATAGATTTTTTTTTAATCTATACTCCGTCACATTGCCCACCTCTCCCTTAAGGCAGCCGAAACCATCATCCACGCATTCGTCACCTCCCTCCTCGACAGTTCCAATGCCCTCCTTGCCAGTCTCCCCAACTCCATTAACTCGTGGAGTCCAGTAGCTCAGTGGTTAGAGCACTCGCTTTGCAAGTGAGAGACCTGAGTTCAATTCCAGGCAGAGGGCGAAACCTTGGGCAAGTTTCCTTACTCCACATCCCTAATAATAATCCCTCCNAAAAAAAGCCAAAACAATAATAAATTGGTCATTTTCAATCCATGACTGTTTGTGGGACACTGCTGTGCGCAATTGGCTGCCGCGTTCGCCCACAAATATACAGTCAATTCACTTTGCATTATATTCTGTGAAGCACTTTGAGACGTCTAGAAGACGTGAAAAGCGCTATATCAAACGCATGGATTATTATTATTATGATTATTACCCGAAACTAGAAATGATACAGAACTCTGACGCCCATATTCTCACCCGCACTAAACTCTGCACCCCCCATCGCATCAGTCTTCGCCAGACTCCACTAGCACCCTAACACAGAATGGATCGATTTCAAGATCCTCTCATTCTACAAATCCTTTCACACCCTGGCCCCTCTACCTTTCTGACCTGCTTTCTCCCCATTCCTCCATGCTGCTGCCTCTGCTCGACTGGCTCTGGCCTCCTGCTTGTCCCTTGTTCCCTCTGGTCCACCATTGGCGCCCGCATTTTCAGCCACTACACCCTGAAGCCTTCGAACTCTCTCCCGCAATCCCTCCACCTTGCCCCCTCCTTCCCCTCTTTTAGATCACGACTAAAGATCTTTCGCTTTGGCCATGCTTACAGTCACCTCCTCCCTCCCACCGGTTCGGCATCAGTCTCCATCACTATTAAGTGCTCTGAGACACTGTCCCGCTTGAAGAGCGCTGTATAAATGCAAGTTGTTATTGTTGATGTTACTGTTATCTGAATGTCTCAGCATGTCCGGGTAGAAAGAAAATGGCCACTCCACAGAACAAGGTAACTCTATAGCATCTGGTTTCCTCTCTCACAATAACAGATGCTCAGTAACTGAGGTGATTTTAGACACTGTTACTGTTGATTAAGCAAGCTTTCTACTGCACCTTGATATTTGGCCTGTTGATCACCGCTGGAGGTTTCCATTCACAACGAGCTGGTTGTTTTTTCTTCATGAGTTGCCCCAAGACGTGCTTCTCCTCACATTTAGCTCTCTGAATCTTTGGAGCTTGTGGCAATAATCCACAAGTAAAGACAGTAAAAGAAAACACCATGCAGTGACTGCACTCTGCAATAAATCCCGTGAAGCGTTTTGAGATAACTCACCGAAGTGATAAGCCACTAAACCAAAAACGATTATTATTAAAACAGCGCAGAGAATTTAAACATTCTCACGCCTGAATTATTTTCAGGCTAACACGAGGTGAAGTTTGGGGTATCAGCCTGGTTCTGTTAGTAGTACTCTCACTTCATTGGTACCCGGAGTCAGAAGAGTGTCTATTGAAGTCCACATCAGGATTTTAAACTCAAAGTCTAGGCTGACATTCCAACACAGTGCCTGGGGATACCCTGCATTGCTGGAGGTGCTATCTTTTGGATGAGACATTAAAACAAGGTTCTGTCGAAGCTTGTTCAGGTGGATGTTAAAGATACACCATTTGAAAAAAGCAAGGGATTTCTCAAAATGTCTGGGCCAATAAAACCTCAAATAAAATTGGTCAAGCATTTCATGGCTGTGTGTGGGACATTGCTGTGTGCAAATTGGCTGTCACATTTGCCTACAAATACACAGTCACTACACTTCACAGTAAAATCCCCTGAAGCTTTTTGAGACGTTGCAACAACATGACAAGGCGCTATATCAAATCACAGCATTATAATTATTATTCAATTATAATTAAGCTTGCTGTACCTTGCTGTGGGACCACTGCAGTAGATCTGGGTGCTGCTGGTTTCTTTCTGTGAATGACTGTGTGGCTAAATTCTTCTTTTATTAACTGCAATATATATTGACAGAGATCTTAAAATACATATTAGACAGAGGATTCCGTTAACCATTCCAAACCAAAGAAATCAACAAGAACGCTTACATTTTACTATTAATATTTAACTTTGATGGACTCCTCTAGCATAGTGGTTAGCGAGCTCGCCTCGCAAGCGAGAGGACCTGGATTCGATTCTCAGGCTGGGTGAAACCTTAGGCAAGTTTCCTTACTCCACGCGCCTCCGGTTACCTAGCAGTAAGTAGGAACTCGGTTGTTTAGCTGATTGGTGGATCACTTTCCGAGGGTAATAATCCCTCAAAAAAGAGGTGACGCAATCCACGACTGTTTGTGAGAGACTGTCGTGCGCAATTGGCTGCCGTGTTTCGCCCAGAAAATACAAAGTCAATACACTTTGCAATATATTCTGTGATTCTTCAGTACTGGCAGATTTCAAAGGAATTATCAAGCGATTAATTAAAAGAAAACTCCCAATGATGCATTGGACAAAGTTTATGAATCAGGAACCAGTAACTGAAGTGGTACGAATCTCGGTCTGTGGTGGTCTGTGGGGGTTACATGGCAAGGCTAAATTGGCTCCAGCCTTTCCCACCGTTATGTACGATAAAATCAGTTGTGTTAACTGGTCTGTCGTCAAGCAGCTTTGACAGGTAGTGCTCATGTGTGGTAACCAGGTGAAAAGAGGACAGGTTTGGCTATGATGCCCTTTTCAGTCAAGTGGTCTGTCAACACTAAATGCCAAAGCTCACACATGAACAAGTGTTTTTGGGTAGTGTGTAGGCAGGCAACCAGTGCACATGGACACACTCCTCCCCCCCAATAAGAGGGAACCAGTCCAGGAGCAGAGAAAGGCATTTCACCAATGGAGAGAACATTTTGAAAATAATTGGACATAACTAAAATAATTTTATTTTAAAAACGCAAACTTTGTCTGCGATTTCTTAAAAAATAGTATTGTGGAGATCCGATTGTGGATAAAAATTGCCCCTTAGACTATTTAGCTGGTGACCATTAACCTGCCAGTGTTACAATATAATATATAACATAATATTTCAGTGCTTTGGGACGTCCTCCCAAAGTGAAAGGTGCTGTACAAATGGTCAGGGTTAATAGCATTTTAACTGCACAGATATAGAGGGTTGTCATATGCCATTCACTAAAAAAAATCCTTTTTGTTACTTGCTTATTAACAATGGGAAAGGTGGTAGATAGAGGCCAAGACACTGGAGCCATTTAAAAAGCATTTGATGCTGTATTGGGACTAGGGAGGGTTTTCTGGAGAGATTGGATGGGCTGAAAGGCATTTTTCATCCAAACCAATTTTGTGAAAAGCATTTAGACTCCAAATAATCACCTTACCTCGGGGCTCAGATGTCTTCCGATACGTTTTTCTAAGAAGTTCTTTTTTAAAATGGAATTGATGGACGGCCGGTCGCGAGAGTTAACTTTGAACAGCTGAGCCACCAACATCCGCAGATCATAGGAGTATCTGGGGTTTATCGGAGCAAAGTGACCTCGGCAAATCTTCACCACCAAATGACGCAGACTTTTACCCTCAAACTGAAAAAAAAAGTTGTGGAAAATGATTTTAACAATAAATAAAATTATAGAAAGAACAGATTATTTTGATCAGATACAGACTCTCAAGAAATATTTCTCACTTACCTTACTGATGCATGCATCACATCACTGAAGAAACCTAGTTTAACTCTTCAATCTCCAAATTTCATTAATGTAACATAAGCTCTCTAGGGCCTGCATATTTTGTGGGCGAAATGCAGCAGCCAATTGCGCACAGCAGTGTCCCACAAACAGTCATGGATTGAGCGACTAAAAAAAAAGTTTTGTTTTCTTTAAGGAATTATTACCCCTGGAAAAGCGATCCCCCAATCGACTAACAACCAAGTTCCTACTTGCTGCTAGGTAAACAGAGGCATGTGGCGTAAGGAAATTTGCTCAACATTTCGCTCTACTGGGATTCAAACCCAGGACTCTCGCTTGCGAGGCGAGTGCTCTAACCACTGAGCTATGGAATTCAATTCAGTTGAGTTTAGATCCCAGGCGTCATTTTCAGGCTGTAAAGTGCTGTGGTCAGACTGTATCTTGAACACTACATACAGTTCTGATCATCGCAAGATAAGGGGACTGACCAGACCCTAGAGGCTGTGCAGAAACAGCAACGAGGATGGTCCCCAGTGTTAGAGGAATGAGCTATGAGCAACAACTAGACAAGCTACAGCTCTTCAACAACAACAAATTACATCTGTATAGCGCCTTTCACGTCAGGAGGATGTCCCAAGGTGCTTCAGTCTTGAGAGACGATGACTCAGAGGGCATCTCATAGAGATGTATAACATTTTAAAGAGGATGGAAGTAAACCCAGATCAATACTTTGGGATGTATCGTGACAGTAGAACAAAAAGATATAGGTTTAGAATTGTAAAGGGCAATTTCAAGACAGACACCAGGAAATTTCTCTTTAAACAGATAGTAATCAACAACTGGAACAGGTTGCTTGGAAAGTGTTAGAGGTTAGGACACTAGACTTATTTAAAAAGCAGTGATGGTATAGTGATGGGAGCAGGGAGGCAGGGTTGGTGTTCTGGAGGGATGAGATTGGATGAACCAAAGGGCCTTCTTCATCCAAACCAATCTTGTGGTCCTGTGTAAGGCTTGTTAAATTCTCCACTGTTTCCCTTACCTGTGACATTTACAATACTTACTGGATGATTCAGAGTGGACAGCTCATACAGGACACAACCAAGGGACCAAATATCACTAGGAAAACCAAAAATAGGTCACAATACAAGAAAGCAATGAGCTTTATAGTTAGATGCATGCTGAAACATCAATGGTAACATTCAGATCGTTGCTTCTCTCGGTTGTAAACATTTCACAGTTGTTACTTATTGGCAGAAATGTAGTTTCAGTTCATTGTTCACTGAGCACATGGCTCCACTAAAGCTCATCTTACAATTGACACAATAAACTTTATTATTTTCTAAAATAAAAAACAGAAGTTGCTGGGAAAACTCAGCAGGTCAGGCAACATCTATGGAGAGAGGAAAATGAGTTAACATTTCAGGTGGGTGACCTTTCGTCAGAACGGCTTTTATTTCAGATTTCCGGCAGCTGCAGTATTTTGCCTTTTATTTATAGTTGAATTCACTGCCACTTCTCTTCCAGGAATACCTGCCTATCTTGAAGAAGTTCTGTCTCCTCTTCAACGGGACTTTCATTTTTCCCTTTTACCCTGTTCACCTTCCTTACTATCTGCTTCTCTTCTTGTGTTTGATGATGTGTTCCCTAAAATTCGCTTTGACAGCCACGTCTCTTTTCTCAGCAACTGTCTCAGGCTCCAACTCATTCCATATGGATTTCGGCTCAAATTCCACCCTTCCTGCTTCGGATCCACCCACGCTCACCGCTACTTCCATGAAATTCAGCGTTAAAAGAGTTCCGGCGAAAGGTCAGCAACCTGAAACATTAACTCTCTTTCCTCTCTCCATAGACGCTGCCTGACCTACTGTGTGTTCCCAGCGACTTCTGTTTTTATTTCAGATTTCCAGCATTTGCAGTATTTTGCCTTTTGCTTAAATTTACATTCTGCCAGTCAAAGGTCTAAGCAAACCGCCTTGATGGCAAATAATTGAAATAAAACCGAGTCATCTTTGCACTCTTGCACAACACAGCTTTTGTTCAGCATCTTTCAACGCCAGTTTTATCAGGTTCAGTTTAAGTTGTGCAACTATTAATTTTGTATTGAAATTGAAATCAGAATATTGTACATTGCATAATAAAGCATATTGTATTCAGAATAGAAAACAATGTTTTTTGATTTAAAGAAAAATGTCCCAAAGAGTTTTAAAGAAGGAATCTTCCCATCTATGCACTTACGTCTTGTTATTGTATGGTCGATTCTCACAAATCTCAGGAGATAGGTAGTAAGGTGTTCCAATACATGTATGTGCTAATTCCATGGTACTAATAGAATAGAGTACAGATAAAACAAAGTAAATTATTTTCAGAACAATATCAGTTTATGCAACAGGAATTATCTGACACATTCTGACCAACGATTACTAGTGAACAAATGTACAAGTGTTGCTAGACTAGCGATCATCATTTTTATTTTGCAGACCAGATTTATTGGAGGTACAATCTGGTAATTCCACTAAGTGGACCAAAAGAAGATGCAAGTTTGGATCTGCAAGTGGGTAACATGCAAACTCTCCAGTGTGCTAAATAAATTCTGAGGATTGCAGAAATCATTATGCAGAATAAAGCTTAGAAGTTATCAGTACAGTTCTACAGAAATGCTTCTTTTAACATCTGGAGTCCTGTAGCTCAGTGGTTAGAGCACTCGCTTCGCAAGCGAGTAGACCTGGGTTTGATTCCCGGTAAGGCGAAACGTTGGCCAAGAAAGAAGACGTGATAAATCGCTATATCAAATGCAAGGATTATTATTATTATTATTATATAATACAATACAGTGTGTTTAGATAGCTTGTGGCCTAAACTATGAGATTTTTTCAACTGAGGGATAGGTGTGATTACATTTCAGCAGCTTTACAATGATGAAATGATCCAACAATTCTTTACAATAAATAACTAAAACTTCTTAGAGACATCTGTTGCGACCAATGTCACTTTAGAGACATGTGCGATTCAATCTCCAGCCAGAGGTGGTCACTTCTTTGGGGCGGTTATAGTAGCTTTGATCTTGGAAGAAATTAAGGTGGGGTGTGGCGGGGGGACGGGAATATAGGAAGCCGGGGGGTGGGGAGGCATACAGTGAAAGGGGGAATAAAGCATACACAGGCACAACTTTGTCAGATGGGAATAGCCAGTATGGAACTACAATATTTAATACAATACAGTACAATACTACTGAATATGTAACAGTCTTGTCACATTGAGATTAAGTAGATAGATTTGTTGTAACTGATGCCAACCAAGATGGAACCAATAACAACCCTAATGCTTGGCATATCCACCGGAGTTAACAGAAACCTACTTGTTTAGCATTCGAGCTATTCCAAAGTCTCCGAGTTTTACAGTCACCCCGTTATTACAGAGAAAAATATTCTGTGGATATAAAAAAAAGCTATGAGGCTGATGAAAATGGACCATTCTTTCAGATTTTCTCTTTGTGCTTTGTTCGTTTTGTCAACATTCAAACAACAACAAATACAACAACAACAAAAACACATTTGTATACCGCCTTTCACATCGGAAGGAGATCCCAAGGCGCTACACCTTCAGGGACTTGGACCCGAGCTGGGGGTTGGAATCAGGAGGGGTGTAGGGCAGTAGGGGTAGGGGGGTGGCCGAAGGCGGGGTCGAAGAGGAGGATCTTGAGACGGGCCTTGAAGGAGGCAAGGGATGGAGTTCCAGAGGGTGGTGGCAGAGAGGCTTTGAGACGTCTCAAAGATGTGATGAGGCGCTATATCATATGCAAGGATCATTATTTTCATACAGGACAGAATATAATGCCATGTCGTAATCTTGAGCATTTTTTCACACACACAGCAGCATCACGCACACACACAGACACACACACAGTGGCAGCCTTCAAGTAGATAGCCAACCCTGGCTCTCTCTGCTCTATTGGGGAAATGGCAAATGCAGGAAGAATGTACAAGAGAGAATAGGAGAGAAAAGGAAAACCACTGAAATAAAACAAAATAGAAAATAAACAGTCTAAAACAGCGATGAACCATATTTCCATCATTTTCTGAGATATATTAATCCCGATGGGAAAGGCACTATATAAATGTAAATTTGTATTTTAATTTGTACCATATTATAGACAGATTCATATGATAATTTCATGCTTGTTATTGCTCTCTACCAATGCTGTGCGCAATTTCATCTCCAAAATATAGTCAATTCACTTCACAGTACACCCTGTGAAGCACTTTGAGACGTCTCAATGACGTGATAAGGCGCTATACCAAATGCAATTATTATTATTATATTATTATTACGCTCACCTGTGTTTTGATGTCTCTATGCAGGATTTTACGGTCATGAATGTGTTTCAGCCCCAAGCAGATCTGCACAAACCAGTCGAGCACCTATCAAAATGAGATTGCTGCAGGTCAGTCACGTAACAATAATAATTATCCTTGTATTTAATTTAGCGCCTTATCGCATCTTCTAGACGTTTCAAAGTCTTCACAGAATATACTGTAAAGTGAATTGACTGCATATTTGTGGACAAAACGCAGCAGCCAATTGTACACAGCAGAGTCCCACAAACAGTTGTGGATTGAATTACCAAATTATTATTTTTTTGAGGGATTATTTCCCCCAGAAAAGCGATCCGCCAATCGACTTAACAACTGGGTTCCTACTTACTGGATAAACAGAGGCATGTGGAGTAAGGAAACTTACCTAAAGTTTCGTCCTGCGGGGAATCAAACCCAGGTCCTCTTGTTTGCGAGGCGAGTGCTCTAACCACTGAACTACAGGATTCCAGTATTTGTTTTAAATTATATAAAGTATTGAAGGGGGAAAAAAACATGAAGACATTTCGCCATTTTCCAGATTAAAGCATCATGCACTATCGGGGGAATGAGAGAGGATTGTGTTCTGGAATTAATTGTTCTGCAATTTATTTTACAGTATATTGTATGAAGCTCTTTGGGATGTCTAGAACAACAATATTAACAACAAAGTTACATTTGTATAGCGTTAGATAGGGTTCGGGTGGGGGAGGGCAGGGGGGGAAGCAGGGAGATCAAAAGAGGAGGGTCTTGAGGTGGGTCTTGAAGGTAGCGAGGGAGGGGGCAAGACGTAGGGACTGCAGGATGGAGTTCCAGAGGGTGGGGGCAGAATGGCGGAAGGCCCACCAGCCAATAGTGGGGTGAGCAAGGCGGGGGACGTGAAGCAGGCAGGAGCCCGCTGAGCAGAGGGAACTAACAGGATGGTAAGGGGGTTAGGAGGTTGGAGAGGTAGTGGGGAGCAAGACCGTGGAGGGCTTTGAAAGTAAGGACCAGGATCTTGAACTGTATCCTCTGTGTGATGGGAAGCCAGTGATAAGGCACTATATCAAATGCAAGGATCATTATTATTAAATCTTCATATCACTTCATAACCTTGCCTCATCCTATTCAACCACAAAACACACAGCCACACCATTTACATTGTATCCTCTGCAGCGCTTTGAGATGGCTCGATGATATGGTAAAGCGCTAGATCAAATAGGAGGATTAGTGTTATAATAACAATCCTTATATTTGGTATAACAACATCAACAACAAATTACATTTGTATAGGACCTTTCACTTCAGGAGGACATCCCAAGGTGCTGCATAGTCAGAGCAGGGGGTTGGGATCAGAAGGAGTGGAGGGCAGGGAGGGTAGAGGCCTGAGGGTGACCAAAGGCACGATCGAAGAGGAGCACTTTTATAATCCCTCCTGCCCTTCCCCCACTCCCTCTCCCTGGCCTTCTTTCAACTCTGGTCTACTGCTCATTTCTCAATCCCTTCATAAAAATATTATTATTAATTATAATAACAATCCTTATATTTGATACAGCATCTTCCCAGTCAGTAGGATGTCTCAAAGAACATCACAGGATTTACTGTAAGGTGTAATGATAGTATGTTTTGTAAGAACTGTAAATGCTGGCTTTTGCACACAGCAATGTCCCACAAACAGTCAGGAAGTGAGTGACCAATTTTACCTACGAGATTATTGGCCAGGACACCTATTCGAATAGTGCTATGGGATCTCTGATGTCCACCTGAACAGGCATAGACAGGACTTCAATTTAACGTCTCATCCTGACAACAGAGCGCACTCCTAATAGGCAGCTGGACTGCCAGTCTAAACTTTGAGCTCAAAGTCTCAATTATGGAGATTGAACCCACAACCTTCTGGTTCAAAGATAAGTGTGTTACCAATTTGTGATAAAGCCACTACACCCCTGCTCTCCAGAACTCTCTCCCCAAACCCCTTGCATCTTCTCCCAAAACCTCTTTCTCTGATCATACCCAACTTAGATTAAAACCCTCAAACTTTTCCTCCTTCCCACCCTATGTGATGATCCTATTGTCTTTGCAAACTGCTTTGAAATGTTCATCTTAAGTGATAGGTGCTGTAAAAATAACCTCTTCCTAGATTATGATTTAATTGATCCCATTCAGCTCTTACCTGTTCTTCTGCAATAGCTACCCCGCGTTGCCCACTGATCTTGTGCATTAAGTCGCCCCCATCACAGTACTCCATTGCTATGTACAGATTTTGCTTCTCTGTAACAGAACAGATGTACATTATTTGCAAAGTGCATTGTTTAAGACGCTGTTTGTGGGACGCTGCTGTGTGTGCACTGGCTGGTGGCTGCATTTGCCCACAAGGTTATTGTGTACACACAATCCTGCCACTCTGGAGTATATCTTGTATCATATGCAACGATTAGAAGGATTATTATTCCCCAAATGGTTTGGACAAACTTCTCGTGTTGAAACTTTCAACAGAAAGTTTAGTCACTCGCCTCTAAATAGCATTTAAGAATGTGTGGAACGAGAAAGAGCCATTCAACCCAATAAGTTCAATCATTTCACATTCTTCGTGCAAGTAAAGCTACTAAGGAGAGAAGTTCCCGAGTTGCTTCTTGATTGAATTATTTTGAACTGTTTTCTCTATGTTTGTGCTCTGTTTTTTTTCTGGCCCCATTCTCTCATCCGGTGATGGGATATTGACAAGCTATTGATGGGAAGTTGAAGAAAATGGTAGATTTATAACCTGGAGTTTTGCACTGAATGCCTTTTGGGCTACAAATACACAGTCACTACACTTTACTGTAATGTCCTGTGTGTGCCTCGAGACATTCTGACGACATGAGGTGTCTATAAGACGCTATATCAAATGCAAGGGTTATTATTATTATCCAAGGCACTTCAGTTTTGATTGAAGGCAATCAATTCCCTGGCAGGGCGAAACCTTAGGCGAGTTTCCTTATTCCACATGCCTCTGTTTACCAAGCAGTAAGTAGGAACCCAGTTGATATACTGAGAGTAAATCACAATAGAATAGATAAGCTTCTTAAGGGAAACTGCCTTTAACTATCACCAATAAAAAAAATAGCTAACCACAAAGTTAGAGTGAGACACAATGAGGTTCAGTCTCTGCCTCCTGCTGTTACATTTACTGGCTTTTGATAGTAAATATGTATTTTCTCATCTTCTCATAAATCTCTGGACTTACAGACCTAAACGCCACTTTAATTTCAAAGCTATTTCTCTGTAAGTTCTTTTAAGAACTGCAGAAGAAAGCTGCAAATTTAAAATCGAATTCAACAATTTGCCAAATTCTGCTTCTTCTGAAATGCAGAGAAAGTAGGACCCAGTTGGTACCTGCTTCTAATAATAAATAAACCTTAGCACCTTTCACAGTGAGAGGGCATCTCAAAGCGCTTCACCAGATTCACTGTAAAATGTAGCGACTGTACTGTATATTTGTGTAGGTGATTGCAGTGGGGTTTGCCATTAAAAACACAGACTGGCATAGATCAGTAAATTTACCAACAGCAGGAAGAAAACTCCCTGGAGCTTTAAAGCTCCAGCAAAGAACACAGTCCCTTTGACCTAACAGACCATTAAAGACCTTCAAATGAATCCAAAAAAGTGACAATATTGGGATGCATCATTTTTTTCAGAAACATGACTTCTTTAAGGGACGCCTCTCTTTCTTTCTGACGCATCTGAAAAAGAGAACACATGCAAGGAAGACTTAGTGAAGTTACTTAAAATAATGTTTTGTTTCAACCGTAGAAACACAATGTACAATTTTGGAGCACCTTTCAAAGCAGGTAGGATAATAATAATATTTCCTTGCATTTATAGCGTCTATAAGACGCTATATCAAATGCAAGGGTTATTATTATTATCCAAGCACTTCAGTTTTGATTGAGGGCATTCAATTCCCTGGCAGAGCGAAACCTTAGGCGAGTTTCCTTATTCCACATGCCTCTGTTTACCAAGCAGTAAGTAGTAGTAGTAAGTAGTAAGTAGTGACTGTGTATTTTGTGGATGAAATGCAGCAACCAATTGCACACAGCCGTGTCCCACAAAGGATGTCTCAAAGTACTTGACACTGCTGGCTGGCCACCTGAGATGGGGTTGGGAGCTGTGAGGGAAAGATGCCCGAAAGCACAGTCAAATAAGTAAATTAATTTCTGTCGGTTAATCATGACTTGGCTGGATCATGAGACTATTTTACATTATTATTATACTTCATGACCAAGGGCAATTGCAGAAAAAAATGCTTAACCATAATCAAGCTTCCAAAACGGTTCCACTATATAAAGTACTACAGTAAATGGGAATTTTATATCTATTTTCCTCAAGGGGGGATTAATTATCAATAGATATTAGGCTTTAATCCCTTTCAATACAAAAGTACAAATCTTAAAAGAGTCTCTATTTAATGCAACAAATGCTGATCTAAAGTGACTTGCAATTTCTAACAGAATTGCTTAAAAGGCATCCGACTGGATCACAAGAGAGATTCGGATTAAGAAGACTCTTCTGCCCATTTCAAGAATACCCACTCTACTATCTTCCTGTCAGAGTATCAAGCTGTTTTCTCAAATGAGTCCTAGGTCCTGGCCTGAACCATCCTCCACCCTGGCAACCTGTTCCAGACATTAGTTAACCTCTGTTCTGAAATTGCCCTTTTCACCACTGAGCCCATGCCCCCTAGTTGGGCCAAATGGCCTGTCTCCATGATGTAACATCCAACGTAATTCTACATTAAGTCCTATGAAGCACTTTGAGACATGATAAGACACAATACCAAATGCAAGGATTACTATTATTATTATATACGAGCTGTACCTGTTGCAGCTACTCTTGCAACCAAAGGATCCAATATGGAATGTAGATTTCAGTGTTACCACTCACAAACCATTTCACATGCCATAAACCCTGTGTGCACATCTTAAGCAAAACTGCTATACATGTGTGATGAACTTGTTTGGGTCATAGCTCATCAATGATAGATTCCCCCCACCAAAAAAATATGCCCATGACACTCCCCCATGCAAGATCTTTCCGATGAGATATAAATCATGTCTCTACATCAATCGGTTATTGAGTTATTGGCTGACACACAGGCAGATATTACATCTTTATTATTATATATAGAAGGTAGATTTATTTGTGATTTCAATATCACCTTTGCAGTTTTGATTTCTTTTATAACACACTGCATGTTGCCAGCTTTAGCTTTAACCAGGAACGCTTTTCCAAATGCTCCTTCGCCAATTAGTCGAATTATTTCATATTCATCCATTGAGACTGCTGAAACCTGAAACAGAAGACATTTGACCATATTCTGCCTGGTAGATACACTTAAATTCAATACTACTCGCAGCTCCAGTTCATTGTAAACCAGAAAGTAGAACGTAATAAACAAAGGCATATTCCAATTCCAGGGAGAACATGACGATGCATTTATTTTCTACGCTTTTCTGTAGAGCGCTTTGAAATGTCCTTGCAACAACACTGTAGAAATGCAAATTTGTATTGTATGGCATTTTGCCAGCCTACGCCCTCTATGACCACTCCATCCCCCCACCCATGAGCCTCCAGCCATCCTACTTCCCTTCCAAACAACAACAACTTGCATTTACAACAACAAGATTCCATTTATAAAGCGCCTTTCACGTCAGGAGGACGTCCCAAGGCGCTGCATTTAGAACAGTGCCCTTCACCTCGGGAGGGCTGCACAATCACCCTTGCCTTGCATCGAATTCCCTCTTAAATGCATCGGTGCTTTCCTGCTTCCACTCCCCACCTCCTGTGGAGTGCGGCTCCTGTCTGCTCTGGTTGCTCCCTGGGGGGGGGGGAGTGCAACAGCCTCACCAAGCCTGGAGAAGCTCCCTAGACAAAATGCCCACGTTAACGGCAGTTTCTGCTTGATAAATGCCCTTTACCAAGCACTACTTACCAGTATTTGCAGCCTCAGTGCCTGACTGCCCTGTGTTATTGGGTGCTGAGCTCTGTATGCCCAGCTGACCAGCCTCTCCACCCTCCCCTTCCCTTCCCCACAACGTTACCAGGGCGACACAAACACAAACCACAAACATGCCCGGTTCCCTTCGCCAGCAGATACTTTTTAGCCTAGAAAAAGTCCCAGCCGCCAGCGAAAACGCTCCCTTTCCTGGACAATCCAGATGTGTGTCTATCCCACCTCCTCCTGGATCATGTCAATAAAGCCCCCACTCCCTCCCTTGAAGTGAGAGAGATAGAGAGAGCCTTGGATCATCAGTGCTCACCAACACCCACTTCTCTTCCCGTAACCTGCCTCCCAGTGCAACAAGACTACAAAACCCAGCACGCACACAGCTCCTACTTATTCTGCACTCTGGGAAGGTTGGGCCGGCTCCAAAGAGCCGTATTTTTCAGCCAAACTTGATTATTTCCAAATAGAAATTCAATTTTTTTTTAATATTTTAATTTGACATTTTTTGGGGGTTGAAATGATTTTAAATGATTTAAATTGTCAAGGTATTGTAAATTACTTAATTCATTTAAATGATTACGTTAAACATCCCACGGGATTGTTTGAAAAAAGAGGAGTTTCTCTCTCCTGGTGTCCTGACCGATAATGCCCCCCGCCCCCCCCCACAATAAAATTGTTCACTTACTTCATGGCTGTTTGTGGGACGTTGCTGTGCGCAAATTGGCTGCCGCGTTTCGCCCACAAAATACAGTCAATCCACTTTACTGTATATTCTGTGAAGCACTTTGAGACGTCTCGACAACGTGATAAGGCGCTATATCAAATGCAAGGATTATTATCTTCAGCTAGGGAGGAAGGGTTTGGCTTCCACAACAACTCGCATTTATATAGCACTCTTTACGCGGGGCAGAGTCTCGGAGCGCTTAACAGTGGTAGAGTCTGACGCCGAGCCATGGGGAGATGACCGGAAGTACGGTCGAAGAGGAAGGTCATCAGTTGTGATCCAAAAAGAGAGGGCAAGATGGAGTGATTGCGGGAGAGAGTTCCGAAGCTTTGGGGCATAATGGCTGAAAGCACAGCAGCCAAATACAAACCCAATAGAGCTTGACAACCATGAGCTTCTCGCTCCTGCGGTTGCAAAGGAAACGCAAAGGGTTTTATTTTTGGTTTCTCTATTTGTCTTGGGTGATGGTAAGGGGGAGGGATGGAGGGGGAAGTGGGGCCTACGGGGGTATGCAGGTTCTCCTTGAAGCTGAGGTGACTCCAAGTTGACATGCTTAGCAATGTCCTCTGTGACAGTCAGTAGCAATAATAATATTCATAGCGCCTTATCACATTGTTGAGACATGTCAAAGCATTTCATAAGCCAATTACTGAGCCAGGCTGCTCCGCAGAACTCCATCTCTACAATTCAATCCCCACCCTAAAACAATACTCAACGGCACTTAGTTCTATCCATTCCCTCCACCTCCGATGTGACTGAGAACTAATTTGGTGCTTTGCTATGACAATGCTAGGACAATGTTACTGCAAGTTTCCAGACGTTAAAATTTCCCTATGATCCATCAATAATAAGCACTCTGAGATGCCATCCCATGTGAAGGGCGCTATATATGTGCAAGTTGTCGATCTAGTTCCCTCAATCTTCCCAACAATAAATCTCTCATATCCACCTTGGTTTCTGCCGCCTGACAGGAAGGCACTCCATGCCTGGCTCGAAAGAAGCCCATCTCTGTTGTTAAAACAGAAAATAGACCATCTGAGCCCGTTCCAGTCTCCACAAACTTATCACCCCCATCTTCACTAAAGACACGTCTCAAAGCATACCTCTTTAACCACCCATTTAGTCAACTTTCCCCACCCCACTCTCCCCAGCTCTCACCTCCAGTTCGAACACCTATCCAACACTATTAACGACTTTGAGATGTCCTCCCAACATGAAAGGTGCCATATAAAATCTTTGTCTTTCATTGCTGTGTGCATTTGGCTGCTGCCTTTCGCCCACAAAATACAGTCAGTCCACTTTACAATACATTCTGTGAAGCACTTTGAAAACATCTCAACCCGATAAGGTGCTTTATAAAATGAGGGATTATTATTATATTATTATTGTTGTTAAAGCGCACTCCCAATAATTCGACAGTGTTAGCAGAGCAGAGTCACATATCTTCATTTATACATCATTTCAGTATCACACTTTATTTGAAAATATTTGAAAAAGTTCAGAAGATTAAATATTAAATATAAATTATAGAAAATGCGATCAATGCTTTATATTTTTCACAGTTCTTTAAAGAATATCTCCATGTTATTTTCTTGGAAATGAGGTCTTCTTATTGCATTTCAATCTCCTTGAAGATGTTATTGTAAAATTCAATGAATAAAACAATTTTTGGGTGTTTAAGTCACATTCTTGACTTCAAAGAGTATTTTCCACCATTTTCTTCAGTTCTTCCACCCAGTCTGGATCACTGTCATCCTCAAATTCACTGTCAATTGAAACAGATCAACATATATATATATATATATATATAAAAGCAGTTTATCATATATAAATACTTTAAAAATGCATTGAGCTACACGTTATTATTTTAGATTATTGTACATTTAAACATTTTTTTTTGAATTTTAATCTTTGTATTTTTAAAAAATATATTTGAAAATAGAAATTTAATGTCTTAACAATGCTTGACAGTACAACTATTCTTGTTTTGCTCCTGCAGTGTCTGTTCCCCTGACCTCAGCATAAACATGATCCGACAGTTAGAGGAAAGAAGATTGGTTACTGTTTAAGCACTGGATGTGGACTCCAGACTCTGATGCAGTAATAAGGTTTAGTACTTCACGGAATATATTGTAAAGTGGATTGACTGTATTTTTGGGGTGAAATGCGGCAGCCAATTGCACACAGCAGCGTCCCATAAACAGCTGTGGATCAAGTGACCACATTTATTTTTTTGGGGGGAAAGGCTAATTATCCCCGGAAAGCGATCAGCCAATCAACTCAACAACCAAGTTGCTACTTACTGCTCGGGAAACAGAGGTGTGTGAACTGAGGTTACACCCTGCCCAGCAATCGATCCTCTCGCTCTAAGGCAAGCCCGCTAAGCAATATGCTAGAGGACTCCACTGGGTGGATGGGCTACTCCAGATTAATGTTCACTGGGTGGGAGAGCTACTTCAGATTAAAGTACCTTTTCCTTTAACCTCACCAAACCAGAGTGCAACCTAGGCGTCCGGTTTGACCCTCAGCTGTCCTTCCTCTCCCACATCCAGTCGCTGACCAGGACTGCCTTCTTCCACCTCTGCCACATTGCCCGCCTCCAACTGTACTTTACCCCAAATGCAACCGAAACCCTCGTGCATGTGTTTGTCACCTCCCGCTTGGATTACTCCAACGCACTCCTCGCCACTCCAACGCACTCCCCAGCTCTGCTATTCAAAAAATCCAGCTCATTCAGAACTCTTTTGCCCGCATACTGACCGAACCAAACTCTGTACCCACATCTCACCAGTTCTGGCCCAGGCTCCACTGGCTCCCCATCACCGAACGGATCAACTTCAAGCTTGTGTTCAAATCCATTCACTCTCTGGCACCTCCCTACCTCTCCGATCTCCTCACTCCCCAATCCACCACTCAGCGCCTCCGCTCGACTGGCACCAGCCTCCTGCTCGTCCCTCGCACCCTCCACCCCACCATCAGTGGTTGTGCTTTCAGCCACTAAACCCCAAAACTCTGGAACACTCTCCCGCAATCCCATCACCTCGCCCCCTCTCTCCCCTCTTTCAAGTCCCGCCTGAAAACTTTCCTGTTCAACCGTGCTTATTGCCACTTGTAAACTTACGTATCTTCATCATCAGATCTGGGTTCCAGCCTCTCCGGATCCTCTTCAATAGTTTCCATTTCACCGTCAACATTATCAGCTGCCTTGGTGGAGTCAGCTGACAGTGGTCCGATGAGATACGTTCCTGAGGCTTTGAAAGAAAAAACAGAATATGACAGTTGCCTTCTTGCCCTGAATGTTAGCCTTAGGAACTCATTCACTCAGGACTATCACTTTGGACTGATTACCAATGCATTTTTGCTTCAGTAATGAGCAGTATTGTACAATATCAAATCCTCGCTGGTGCAAAGATTTAATGCGCAAAGAGGATGGCAATGCGTTATCCAGGACACTGAACCCGTTTAACAAAGTAAATTGCAGCGATGAATATAACGTAAGCTCTCTGAGTCGCTACCCTACGTGAGGGGTGCTATATAAATGCAAGTTGTTGTTGTTGACGTGTTGATATTCTGGAAGGAAGAGATCAAATGGAATGAAGAGCCTTCTTTATCCGAACCTCTGTTGTAGTTTTGTGGATTTTCTATTTCTCGTGCCAGTCATTGTTGCGGCTTCTCTGAGTGTGAATGGTATTAAATTATGGATGATGTAGTGCTCCATTTGAAACCACTGGAAGCTGGATTGATACCGTGCATACATAATTCATGTAAGGGCCCCTAAAACCATCAGAGTAGCCCAAACCCAAATCCCAGAGGTGAAAATGATCAGAACACTTAAAAGGCAAGTCACCAGATAAGGCAGAGTGTTGGAACAAAAATTAAATAGCTCTAATTTACAAAAAAATCCACATTTGAAGCACTGAGAGTGAGAACTGATCTTCTCCAACTGATTTACATAGTGCTATAGTTCTGTACCATGCACACTGGATGAATGCTTGATAATCATTGTGCAGTAAATACACATTCCACTGAAATGATTCCTGGTGACATGCGAGGAACAAGTCTGTGAACGTGAACAGCTCATAAGGCATATGAAGAATAGCAGCTCAAAAATAAGTCAGTTTCGCCCACAAAACACACAGTCAGTTCACTTTACAGTATATCCTGTGAAGCGCTTCGAGAGGTCTAGAAGACATGATAAGGCGCTACATCAAATGCAAGGATTATTATTTAAATAAAGTACAGCTCATATGTTTTCAAGGATGATATAAAATGTTTTAAAAACAACTCATTAGCTACACCTGGTGGTCGATTTGTGCATTTCCTTGCATTACAATCTCACATATTACCCTACACCGAAGCCTACAATCTACAAACCATGGGGTTTACAGTCTCTGGTGTATCACACCCTATTATATTACACGGCACAAATTTAGCATTCCCTTTGTGTAAAATGCATACAATGTTAATGAATGCTTCGAATGGCTTTTGCCTGACACGTGTCACCCATCGCCATGTTTAAGAGTGCCCAAACCACACAGGATTCCACACACGCATTGAAATTTCTGTAAATGGAGTTGCGTTCTCTCTCTCTCTCTCTCTGGAACAATGCACCCCACTTACCTAATCAGTTTGGTAAAGGCCGAAGGGGTCCCAGAGTGTACATTGGAGATATTGATGGAGTTTAACCAGCTAAAACCACAAACATTACCATTGTAAGCTGTCTGGCAAACTTCCCCATCGCATGTCTTATCCAGGATCTTCCTGACTCATACAGCTTTGGTTTGTGGGGCTAACAAGAGCCAAGTGTGAAGAATCTCTGCCCCCCCCCCCCCAATGCTTCAAGAAATGAGCTATGAGTTAACAATTAGATAAGCTGGAGCTCTTCGGTCTCAGAGAGGACCTCAGAGATGTACAATATTTTAAATGGGGCTGAGAAAGTAACGGTATGTTGGGAATTCTGGAAGGATTAGATTAAGTGCTCAAGGGCCTTCTTCCCCAAACCTCCCTTGTGATCTAGTTTGCCACTGTATGCCTACCAATGAGCCAGGCTAGCTGGTCCCCTGTAAACAGTGTCGGATTACTAAGGACCCATCTGACTCAGGAACCAGATTACCAAACTTGCAACAGGGGATGACTCAACTCTGATATTTCAACTCATTCCCAAGGAGATCCCCTTGGTCACTGGTTGCTCATGAGACTTCAGAGAAGTGCAGGTTGGAGCTCTTGCTAGATTGGTGACTTGTAATAATAATCCTTGCATTTGGTATATCACCTTATCATTATCAAGAAAAATGATTAGTAGCACTGGTATGGAGATGAACACTTTTTAAAAAAAACACACACAAAAAAGATCCTTACCTGGTTTATCAATGGAGTAGGTTTTAAAGGCCAAGCTGAGGTTAGCATTCTTTAGAAAATTCAGCACAGCTTCAGGAGGTCCTGGATTCCACAGTTTCCGTGGCTTATTTGTAGCATAAATAGTTACTTGATCACCTAATACAAGAATAACATCAAATTACATTTGTATAGAGCCTTTCACATCAGGAGGACGTCCATACAGTCCATGAGGTCAGTGTCAAGATTGCAAGCTCAATCAACAACAATTTGCATTTATGTAAGTGCTCAGACATTCCCTTACATGAAGTGCCTTTCGTGTAGGATGACTCCTGAGCGCTTTACAAAGACGGAGTCAGATACCGAGCAAAGGGAAGAGGGTGGAGGTGACCGAAGACACAATCGAAAAGGTAGGTTTTCAGGCGAGATTTAAAGACAGATGGAGACTGAGGTTGCAGGGAGATGGAAGGGTGGTGTTGGGGGTAAATGTCGAGAGATTAAAGGGGTAGTTGGTGAATGTTCGGCCACTGATTGTGGCTTGGAGTTGGCTGGAGGTGCACGGAAAGCATGAGTTAGACAAGCAGAGAGGGTGAGCAGAAGAGGAGACAATCACAGCACTTTACAACAACAACAAATTTGTCTTTCACACTGTAACAAGTCACTTTGGAAACTGCATGGGAGAGAAGACAGAGCAGTGAACCTTACTCTTTGTTTCTTCGAAAGCAGTGCCAGATGAGGTCAGTTGGGCATTTTCAAGCACATTTAGAACTGTATTCGAAGGGCCTTCTTTCCATTGTTTTCGCATGTGAATGTTAGGAGCAGAATCCTTGAACATTATCACCTGGTCTCCCTTTGGCGTGACTGGTAACACAATAAGAACAAGCTCAATATTAGCTGACCAGCATATTTTCAGTCAATGGTTACAGTTCAGTGGTTTCTCTAATCAGCTGTATTCAAGACGATTGTCAATTGTGCTAATTAATAAAATAATAATAATTGCATTTTATACATCGTTTTAAATATCACAAAGATGTCTCTGAGTACTTCACAGGACTCACTCTAAAGTGTAGCGAATACATATTTTTGTAGGCGAATGTTGTGCTGGTTCCAAACAGCGGCTGAGAGCAATTTTACTGACATATTGAATTGGTGAATAATCTAACAATAATAATCCTTCCACTTGATATAGTGCTTTATCACATCATCGAGACATCTTAAAGTGCTTCACAGTCTTTACTGTGAAGTGTAGTGACTTTGGACTTGTGCACAGCAAAGTCCACAAACAGCCATGAAGTGAACAACTAATTTTATCTGGAAGATTGTATGCTGGACACTGGGAGAAACTCCCTTCTTTTTTTTTTTGAAAAGTGCCATGGGATCTTTGATGTCCACCTGAACAGGCAGACAGGACCTCGGTTTAAAGTCTCATCCAAAGGATGACACCTCCGATAATACAGAGCTGATTATACTTAATTGTGTTTTATTTTATTTACATAAAATATAATAAAACACAATTACATATATTGCTCCAACAAGCACTGCATTGCTGTGTCACCATAAATTATAAAGGTTCTAAATCCCTACGTGGAGTTTGAACCCACAACATTCTGACACAGAGGCGAGACATGTTGACACCTAATCTAACTTCATAACAAAATAAATATTTTACCTTCCATTTGAGAAACTGTCTGTTCCAACGGTTTTTGAGCTAAACTCTTAGCCACATTTTCCCCTTCAGTTGAATTCCACTTAGTTATATTGGGAGAAGCTTCCACAATTTCCTTAAAACGGCAAGGATTCAAAAGTGACTCACGGCAATTGACAAGAAAAACTAGTTTAATACTTCTACCTGCAATTTTGTTTGAATACTATTTGCTTGTATTCTGTTCAAAACTCTTTAGTCCAAAGCAATGCTTTGTAAGCATTTTAATGCTGAATTAATGGGGCTCTATGTGTCTAGTACAAATGTTAAGAAGATGGATATCTCCAGAGTGGATACAAGAATGATATAGCACAGAAGGAGGCCATTCAGCCCACTGTGCGCATGTCGGCTCATTGAAAGAACTATCCAAATTAATCCCACTCACCTGCTCTCTCCCCATAGCCCTGCAAATTTGTCCTCCCCAAATATCTATCCACATCGCTCTTGAAAGTTGTTATCTAATCTGTTTCCACCACTGTTTCAGGCAGTGCATTCCAGATCCGAACAACTCGCTGGGTGAAAAAAATTTCTTCTCATCTCCCCTCTGATCCTTTTGACAACTATCTTAAACTTGTGCCCTCTGGTTACCAACCTACCCTCCAGTGCATTTCTGACAAATCCCCTCATAATTTTGAACAGCTCTATTAAATCGCCCCTTAACCTTCTCAGCCCCAAGTAGAACAATCCTAGCTTCTCTAATCTCTCCACATAACTCAAGTCCCTCATGCCTGGTACCATCCTGATTTGTATTCTATGCCCCTATTTTTAAAGCCAAGGATCCCGTATGCTTTTTTAAACAGCTTTATCTACCTCTCCTGCCACCTTCAAAGATTTGCTTATGTGAACCCCCAGGTCTCTCTGCTCCTGAACCCCCTTTAAGATTGTACCATCTCGCTTACATTGCCTCCCCTCATTCTTCCTCCCAAAATGCATGAATTCGCATTTCTCCGCATTATATTTCATCTGCCACATGTCTGCCCATTTAACAGTCTGTCTAAGTCTTCCTGCAGTCTGTTACTGTCCTCCTCACCGTTTACTACTTTTCCTAGCTTTGTATCATCTGCAAACTTGGAAATTGTGCTCCCTATACCCAAGTAATTTATATAGAATAAAAAGAGCAGTGGGCCTAATACCCTAATGCCTTGGGGGACACCACTGCACACTATCCTCCAGTCAGAAAAACAATCGTTCACCACTACTCTCTGCTTTCTGTCTCCAGCCTGTTTCTGTATCCATGCAGCCACTGTCTCTTTAATACCGTGGGCTTATATTTTGCTGACAAATCTCTTATGTGGTACTTTATCAAACACCTTTTGAAATTCATATAAACTACATCAACTGCACTACCTTCATCCACCCTCTCCATTACTTCCTCAAAAAACTCTATCAGGTTTGTTAAGACACGATTTGCCTTTAGCAAATCTGTGTTGGGTGTCCTTTATTAACCCATATTTTTCTAAGTGAAGATTTTGTTCTGGATTATAGTCTCTAGAAGTTTCCTCACTACCGACGTTAGGCTGACTGGCCTGTAGTTCCCGGGTTTATCCTTCTGCCCCTTTTTGTACAGGGGAGTAACATTTGCAACCCTCCAGTCGTCTGGCACCACATTGATGTCCAAGGAGGATTGAGAGATTGTGAAATTGCCTCCGCTATTTCCACCCTTACTTCCCTCAGTAACCTAGAATGCATCCCGTCCGCACCGGGTGACTTATCTACCTTGAGCACCGTCAACCTTTTTAGTACCTCCTCTGGGTTTATTTTTAGCTTATGCAATTTCTCTCCCCTCTCCTCCAATACTGTGGCATTAGCTGCATCCTCTTCTTTTGTTTAGACAGATACAAAGTCATCATTCAGTACGTCAGCCATGCCCTCTGCCTCCACAAGATGATTTAGTTTTTGGTCCCTAATCGGCCCCACCCTTTCTTTGACTAACTGTTTATTCTTTATATACTTATAAAATACCTTAGGGTTCCTTTTATGTCACCCGCTAATCTTTTCTCATACAATCTCTTTGCCCCTCTTATTTCCTTTTTCAGTTCTCCTCTGTACTTTCTATATTCTGTTTGATTATCTTCTGTATTTTGGACCTGACATTTATCATAAGCCTCCTTTTTCTGTTTCATTTTAATCCCAATTTCTTTAGTCATCCAGGGAGCTTCGGATGCTCTACCTTTTCCCTTTGTGGGAATGTATTTCTTCTGTCCCCAAACTATCTCCCTCTTGCAGGCTTCCCTTTGCTTGTTTACCGTTCTACCTACCAATCTTTCCTGGCTAGGTCTCTTTCCAACTCAGTGAAATTAGCCTTCTTTCAGTTGAGTATCTTCACCTTTGATTACCCCTTGTCCCTTTCCATAAATACTCTAAACCTATTGATGCTGGGGTTACTGTTATCCAGAAGCTCTCCCACTGAAACTGCTCCATTTGCCCCACTTCATTCCTCAGAACTAGATCCAGCAATGCTTCCTTACTCTTTGGGCTGGAAATATACTGATCCAGAAACTTATCCTGCACACATTTCAGGAATTCTTCCCCGACCTTGCCCTTTATATTGTTTTTCCCCAGTCTATGTTAGGACAATTGAAATCCCCCATTATCACTACTCTATTGGTTTTACATTTTTCTGAAATTTGCTTGCAGATTTGCTCATCCATCTCCTTCCCACTATTTGGTGGTCTATAGCATACACTTAACAGCATAACAACTCATTTTCTGCTCCTTAACTCTAACCAAATAGATTCTGTTTTTGAACCCTCTAGCACATCGTCCCTTTCCAGGGCTGTAATCGTGTCTCGATTAATACTGCCACAACCCTCCTTTTTTTTCCTTCCCTATCCCTCCTGAATACATTGTAGCCTGGAATATTCAGCTCCCATTCCTGCCCTTGTTTGAGCCAGGTCTCCGTTATTGCCACTAAATCATAACCTCATGTGGTAACTTGAGCCGCAGCTCACCAACCTTATTTGTCACACTCCGTGCATTTACGCATCTGCACTCCAAGACCAACTTAGTCTGTTTTGCTTTTCTCCCCGGTCTGATCCCTCCTCTTTCTGAACTACACTTTATTGCATTGTTGTTCATCTCTCCCAGTCCTCTATGTATTTTGCTTCTCCGCTCTGATGCTACTTCCTGGTTCCCTTCCCCCATCATAATTAGTTTAAATCCTTCCCTGCAGCTCCAGTTAATCTCATTGCAAGGACATTGGTCCCAGCCCTGTTCAGGTGTAACCCATCCACCTTGTACAGGTCCCAATGTTTCAGGAATCTGAAGCCCTCCTTTCTGCACCATTTCTTCAGTCATGCATTAACGTGTTTTATCCTGCTGTTCCTATACACGCTTGTAAGTAGCACTGGGAGTAATACAGAGATTACTACATTTGAGGTCCTGCTTTTAGCCTTCTCTCTAGCTTCTGATTCCCTGCCTGTAGGATCTAAACCCTTTTTTTTCCTGCATCATGGATTCCAATATGGACCACAGCTTCTGGCTGTTCCCCTTCCCCCCACAGAATGTTTTGCAACCGTTCCATGACACCTTCTACCCTGGCACCAGGGTGGCAACACACCATGTGAGACTTACTTCTGCGGTTGCAAAAACGCCTGTCTATCCCCCTGACTGTTGAGTCCCCAACGACAACTCTTCCCTCTGGCACTCTTCCCTGTTTCACCCTGTGCGGTGATACTCTGCCCTGTGTGCCCCTGTGCATTGATTTGCTTTTGACTGGACCCCCCAGAGGTGCCGTCACCCTCACAGGTATTCAGCACAGAAAAACGGTTTGTGAGCGCCACACTCTCAGAGGATTTCTGCACTGCCCGTCTCCTCTTTCTACCATACCGGGTGGCCACCCATTCACTCTCCTTCTAAACGCTCTGTAGCTGTGGGGTGACCATCTCCTAAAACGTTTGATCCATGAAATCTTCAACTTTACATATGCTGTGTAGTGACACCAGCCTCTTCACGAGCTCAGAAACCCAGCCGGAGGCACTTTCTACACAAGTAGTTGTCCAGGACAGTGTCCTGGAGTTCCCACATGGCACAGGATGAGCATGCACTGTGTCTTCAGCAGTCCTGCCATATTCCAAAAAAATTTATATTATTGTTTATTTATTTTTGCACCGCTTTCCCCCTCTACACTGAATTCCCACTCTCACCAAATTCCTTAACGGAAGCCTCACTCTGTTCCACCTCAATTAACTAATCCCTAACGCTTGGCAATTCGAATTGTTTATCTGTTTACTTTAAAAGTTCTCTGACCCTCAAGAAAGAATTCCCGCTCTTTTCCTAAAAGAAAGAGTTCTCCCTTGCTCTCTTGTTCTCGCTGGCTCAAGAATTCCCATTCTCACCAAATTCTTTAACAGAAGTCTCACTTAGTTCTCTCCTCACTCTGCTAGGCTCTCTGCTCCAGTGACTAGTGGCTGCTAAGAGCACACAAAGACTCAGGGAACTGCCATAACCATAACGAATGTGCTCAAACTGTTGGTTCAGCATATATTATTATTATGTTGGAAAACTTTACACATCAAAGCCTTCCCCCTATCCCCACTCCACTGACCAAGATGAGTAAACTTAGCACAGGACAATGAGTCAATGACTAGAGGGCAACAATTTAAGATAGTTAACAAACGAGCAAATGGGGAGATTCATACATTTGGATCTAGCTTTTCTGGTCTTATCAATATCAGTTCTCAATATCAGAGTATTTTTCCCAGCAACTCACAGAGACCGGCTGATTATTTTCACTTGGTACTTCGAGTGGGCCTGCTTTGGCTCTAGTGGGAGCGTTTTTTTTAACATCCGGGGCACGGTCTGAAACAGATTAAGAGTACACTCAGTGCACACAGACTCATTGCACAACTTGTCCATCAGAATGTTCATTGTTGCTTCCCGAGAATTATTCTCACGAGCCTCAATACCTTTGGGCAGCACGATCTTGGCTTTCGGTTGCCCCGGTCTCTTCTTTTTGGTCATTTCTTCACTAAATTCCTTCCTCATCATCTGCAACAAACAAGTACTTGCTTAAAATCCTCCCCCGGCTCAGCGTGTTGCTCCGTCCCTGTCAAGCGTTCTGGGACGTTACCCTGTGTGAGGGTCACTATATAAATGCAAGTTGTGTTGATGATGTTACGAGGCACTATATCAAATGCAAGGATAATTATTATGAGCCTCTCACCTTCCCGATGGCCTAGTGGGTAAAGACACTGCCTGGTGTCTGCAGAGTCATACACAGCAGAAGTTGCAGGTTCAAATCCTGGTCTGTGATGAGTTATCACAGGGGCAGCAGTGAGAGTTGGGGTGACTATTGGCTGATGTTTGCAAATTGGCTGATGCATTTGCCTACAAAACATACAGTCACCTCATTTTGCAGTATATCCTGTGAAGCACTTGAGACTTCCTCCTGATGTAAAATGTGTGATACCAAATGCAAGGATCAATTATTATTATTAACACAAGTTGAGTGCCAGTTGTGGCACTAATATGTATAACAGTGACTTGAGGCAGATGATTGGCACCTGCGGACATGTATGGGGGGGGGGCGCGGATGAAGAGAAGGAAAAAATCATCATCTTAAAAAATCATAAAATTCATAAAACCATAGAAATTTACAGCACAGAAGAAGGCCATTTGGCCCATTGTATCTATGATGGCTCTTTTAAGAGAAAACATCTCTTAAGAGATGCTTTAAGATGTTTAATTCAATATTTAGGACAGGAAAACGAGTACTTGAGTCCCATCTCACCTCTGGGGATAAAAAGTTGCTGATAAGCTTAGCAAAGTAGCGTCGAGCAAGGATGGTGTTGACAGAGGGTCGATCCTTCGGGTTTCTTTTGAACATCTGTTTTATGATATATTGGAGCTCAAACGAGTAATGATTTGGGACTGGAAGGTACGACCCTTTGCAGACCTTCATGATGAGATTCTTCCAGCTGTTGGACTGGAACTGCGAAGATTAGAAAAAAATAATGTTTAGTGGTTTTAGTTGGTCAAACATAAATCAGAAAAGAACTTGATGCCTAAATGAGGGAGAGGGGAAAAGAAAAATGGAATAGGAGGGGTGGGGGCTTGTGTGGAGGAGATTTGATAGAGGTGTTCAAGATTATGAAAGGGTTTAGTAATATGGAAACTGTGTAGCTTGATATAAATTTTCTGCAGTGTTTGCTTGCAAAATACAGTCACTGCACTTTATAGTGAATCCAGTTAAGCACTTTGAGGCATCCTCCAAATGTGAAAAGGCTCCATATCAAATGCAAGGATCATTAGTTTTTATAATGCAGCTGTGGAGCTTGCCATGAAACTGACTGAATATTTATTTCACCAACAGCCTACAATCCTGATACAAACTGCTTTCTGCAGTTAAATTGTGGAACAAACATCACACAATACAATTAATATTTATAGACTGTGTTTCACGTTGGGAGGCTGTCGTAAAGTGCTTATGCTTCATTCATAACCCTGACCATCTTTGGGAGTTATCCACTTACACTGAACCTGTGGAGGCAAATTCACTGTGATCCACCAATTACCCAGGCTTTGTCAAAATGATACTCTAGAAACCACTAAGGACTTCAGGTTCTTTATGTACCATCTGCTCTGCCTAGCCATATGGCTGTGTACATTGTCTTTCAGAAATCTGGATCGTCTCAACCGTGCAAATCATGACCTGCTTCCTTATAGAACATCCAGCAGAGTCGAGCCATCATAGAACAGAGCTTCACTCTGTGTGCAGCAACAATGACTGATTATAATTCTGATCGTTACCATTATAATTCAACATTGTTTTTGAAATAGAGGTCAAAAGGCTGACTGAGACAGGAGAATGCTTCACTCAGACCACAATCCCTAACTGTATCATAAAACATGTAAAAATATAAAAATAATAATCTTTGCATTCGATATAGCTGTTTTCACGTCTTCGAGACGTCTCAAAGCGCTTCACAGAATATACTGTAAAGTGAATTGACTGTATAATTGTGGGCGAAACGCAGCAGTCAATTGCGCACAGCAGTGTCTCACAAACAGTCGTGGATTAAGTGACCAAATTATTATTGTTTTATTTAGGATTATTATCCCCAGAAAAGCGATCCTCCAATCGACTAACAACCAGGCTCCTACTGACAGCTAGGTAAATAGAGGCGTGTGGAGTAAGGAAACTTACCCTATATTTTGCCCAGCTGGGAATAGAACCCAGGTCTCTCACTTGCGAGGCGAGTGCTCTAACTACTGAGCTACAGGACTCCACAACAGTAATAAATGTAACATCAATACTGCACATTATGGTCAATTGATATTACTTACAGGATGTCGCAGAGTGCAGAGTTCATACAAGACACATCCCAGGGCCCAAACATCACTGAAAGAAGCACAGAAAGGTGGTTTCTACAGTATTTATTTGGCAGTTAGTTAGGTGGCTGTGCCTATTGAATTAAACAATGATCATCTCAATCTGACTGCAGCACAATCCTAATACAAACCGCTCTCCGCGGTTGTACTGGTACAAACCATTTGGAGGTTCACAAAACACGCAATAAAAGTCTATTCCTCTTTAATGGAAATCCACTCATTTTACTGCTCCAAAATTTTCATGGCAAATCTTAATAATAATAATAACCTTGATAAAAATAATAATCTTTGCATTTGATATAGCTGTTTTCACGTCTAATAGGCACATTTATGGGTAGGGTGAATATTAAGAAAATGACCACTGGGCAAATTACCCAAGGCTTATGTCTAACTACTAAATTGAGCGCGTGTTATGTTTTGTTTCCAGTCTAATTCCTTTGCAATGTGTTTAAAACAGTCTGCTCCGCAAGTTTTCACTTAGCAAACATCGGCAGTCAACCTGCATTAGAGGTGAGGCAGCACTATAGCAAAGTGCGCTACAATGGTGGTCTCCTGTATTAATAGAAATTAAATAAATAGCTTGACTCAAACCTAGATACTTGCACCAATCTCATGCTTTACGTAGAATTCTTAAAAGTGTGATAACACAATAAGAACATAAGAAATGCCAGATGAGAAACAGACCAAGGTCCATCTAGTTCGTCTTCCACCTTCCTGGCGGTTGCACATATGTCCCAAACTACCTATGTACTGCATCCCATAATGTTATTTCCTAAAAGAAATCTATCTAATCTGTGTTTGAAACAAACAACATTTCCTGCTTCAACAGTCTCCCTAGGGAGCCTGTTCCACGGGTTTATTATTGGGTCTTTGTTGCACAATGCAGAAAGTGTGACATTGTTTGATGATGACCCAGAAAGTTTCTATTCAGATCCACAGTCCATTAATGCTTCACTGGAATTCCTACCTTTTGTTATTGTAAGGCTTGCTCTCCCAGATCTCTGGAGACACATAGTAAGGTGTTCCCACATAAGTACAAGCAAACGCCATTGGACTGCAGGCAACAAAAAAATCATCCATTCAGTGGAACATATTGATATCTGAAAACAATTCAAATCATGCACAACAGTATATAGTAATAATAGTAAAAGTAATAATATATTAAGAGCTTTTTTTTCCAAAAGAAAGCTCAACGTACAAATTTGTTTAGCGCAAAGATTAATAACCTTACTCGTTCAAAAGACATGCAGATCCAAAGTCTCCCAATTTTACCACTCCGGTTTTTGTGAAGAATATATTCTAAAATTAAACAGATAAAATGTTAGATGCCAGCAGACCTCAAACTCCATAATTATTAAGTAATCATGCATATTATCTTACTTCATCAAATTAACCATTAACGAACAAAGAGTTCAGCTTTTAAAACCAAATCAGTTATGCACATAAAAGACACATGTTGTGCATTTTCAATTATGAAAATTAAGTAGCATTGCAGAATGATTGTGTTCTGGGAATAGATGTTAAAAATAAATTGTAAAATGATTATAACATGCAGGGAGTATATATCCTTCATCAGGGAACAAAATAAAAACGACATTACCACTATTCAAATCACTCCAAACAGTTTGATCAAGTGAGCCGGATTTCTGTTGCTTTTTGCCACAATACATCAAAGGCACAGAAGGAGGTTGAAAATGCACCATCTGGATCTACATGTTACATTAGAGCAGACCTACTTGCTAATATTTTCCTCGAGGGCCGCAGTCCTTTTTTATGAAGCCAAGCGGTGAACAAAGATCCAGAGACACATGGAGCAAAAGGCCATGTGGGAATTACAGATGTTAGAATATATTGTTAGAATATATTGTATACAAAATATATTGTAAATTGGATTTACTGTGTTTCGCCCACAAAATACAATCAATCCACTTTACAATACATTCTGTGAAGTGCTTTGAGACGTTGTAATTACGTGATAAGGTACTACATCAAATGCGAGGACTATTATTATTATTATATGTTCTCAAGGATGAATAACACACAAGTCTAATCTGTTCTAAGGATGTTATATTTCAATAGGTCTTGAGATGTGCTGACTGTGTGCAGCATTACTATTCTTGCTCAGAATTAATTCAGTATACACATGGACCCAGCCAAACACACTCAAGTACACACCACTGAGCGAATACATGTGCAAATGTAACTACAGCATTTGCATCGCAAATAAATAAACAACCTAGAAATAACAGCAACCATAAATTACAATTGACATGCCTTTCATGTCAGGAGGACATCCTTCAAAGTTTACCAAAAACAACTAAACCTTTTTGTGAATTGGAAAGTTAATTTTCAGTATCTTCGAGTGCTGAATTATTGTATTATTTTCTCAGTTATTCAAACAATCTTCTATTACCTATATGCATCTATGGATTGAATATCCTTCTCCTCTAGATTGCAAAAGGATTTCAGATACAGGCTTGTAAAAATTTAATTTGAAACAAAAGGCCTGTAAATTGGACTAGTAAAAATCTTGCAAGCGGGTGGATCTGGGTTTGAATCCCCGCAGGACGAAATGTTGGGCAAGTTTCCTTACACCCCTCTGTTTACCTAGCAGTAAGCAGGAACCAGTTGTTAGTCAATTGGTGGATCACTTTTCCGCGGGTAATAATTTGTTCAAAAAAATGAATTGGTCACTCAATCCACAACTGTTTGTGGGACACTGCTGTGCACAATTGGCTGCCGCACTTTGCCCACAAATAATACAGTCAATTCTCTTTACAGTATATTCCATGAAGCACTTTGAGAAGTCTCAAAGACGTGATAAGGCGCTACATCAAATGCAAGGATCATTATTATTATGAATTATTATTAGGCCGGCTTCCACCGAAGACATGTAGTTGAAGCCATTGAAGAGAAACCATTGAAGGTGGATGAGCGGATTGATCAGCCTGCATTTTGTGCACATTAAGAAATGCACGGTGAGAATCAGGGACATCAATGGTGATCTTGACATCCCGAATGTGGTGCCAGCAGCTGCACTACAATGTGAGCCATTATAACAACAATTTATATGGCACTTTTCACCCAGAATAGTGTCTTGAAGTGCTGCTTATTGTCAGGATTGGACCCCAAGCACGAGAGGAGGGGTTGGGGGAGGTGACCATTGACACAGTCAAAGAGGTGGGTCTTAAAATGGGTTTTAAAGATAGATAAAGAGGGGTCGAGGCAGAGGGATTGAGGCAGACATTGCAGGATCTTGTTTTACAGCTCCCACCACTCCTCCCACAACCACCACATTATAAATAGAGTTGGAATTGAAATTATAAAATATGATCAGTCTAACCCACAGGTTTATACCATTTTTCACTCAGTGTAGGAGGAGGAACTCTTACCTTGGATTTGATATCTCGGTGCAAAACCCGTCTATCATGTATGTGCTTCATGCCAAGGCAGATTTGTATGAAGAGATTAAGCACCTGCCAAAAAAAACAAACATGCATTCCGTCAGTTTTATAGTAGGGATGCCCAGCGGGAAATCTAACCACAGACTAGGATTGATCACCGCCTTCATTGAGATGAATTTAACAGTACAGTTGTCAGGGCGCTACAATTGGAGCTGAACTCTACAACCAAATACCTTTAAGAGAGGAGTGAAGGAAGACACATCAACAGTTTCTTAAAAACAACTCTCAATGCAAGTTGCCCACCTCCACAACTTTAAGGTCACCCTCACATCTTTCAGACACAGCTGGCTCAAACCATTCTTGATAGAGGCATTTGGAAGGGTGTAATGGGGAAGGAAACCAGTTTACTGCTGGGCTCTTCTAAGACTAAAGATCAGTCATTTCATTTTTTGCATCTGGTTTGAATCCAGTCTATTATTGATGAAACTATCTTACTTTCCATCTCGCCCACAAAATACCCAGTCAATCCATTTTACAATACATTCTGTGAAGCTCTTTGAGATGTCTCAATGAGGTGATAAGGCACTATATCAAATGTAAGGATTATTATTGCTGTCTGAAATACAATCAGCAAGGTTAAGGAGCATCAGTGGGGTCTATTTTGCTGTAATGTATTTCTTAATTAAGAAATCCGGAAGTCTGATATTGAAACCCGTGAATGCTACTGCAATTCAATTGGGGTGATTTATGGGAAGTGTTTCCAGTTACTGGAAGCAGTCTCCAATCGGATTTCTTAATTAAGAAATTATGTAAAATTTACCCAGTTATAACGTGAGGAAACATACCATCTCCTCTGGGAATAATTTCTTCTTTTGACGCAGCAGGTTTTGCATGAGGTCTCCACCATCACAATATTCCATGACTATATACAGGTGACTGTCAGCTACAAAATAAGAGTAACATCCCTTCAAGGTCAAATGTGCAGAAATAAATCATACCCATGAATTCAAATGGTACCAACTGAGCCTGGCTGACAAATCAAGTACAGAATTGTGACGGTAAACAAAAACTCTTGCTACAGGATACAGAGGGTACAGAAAAGCTGAACCCTAATGATATAGTTAAGATAGTAAAAATAATATTTAGACACAGGTTTTTTAGAAGAGGGAAAAGCTGCTTCAATCTCTTCTTAAATCATTTGACACTACAACAATAAATTACATTTCTATAGCGCCTTTCACGTCGAGAGGAAGTACCCGTGAAGCGCTTTGAGACATCATGGAAGGATGAAATTCACCAAGTGTAGCAATATTAATAATAATATTAATAATGTTTGTTTATAAATAGGTAATCTTAGAAAACACATATATCATAGAAATTACAGGATAGAAGGGGCCTAATGAGCTGGAAGAACATCCACAGGAGCTAACAATTAATCCCATTCCATTTTCCTTCAGATGAGAGGTTAAATTGAGTTCCATCTGCCTGTTCAGGTGATTGTTAAAGATTCTGTGGCATTATATGAAAAGAGAAGGGATTTTGTCCCGGTGTCCCGGCTAGCAATCCCCCAGCTAATCCTCCATGGCTGCTTGTGGAACATTGTTATGCGCACATTGACTGTGCGTTCACCCACACAACACAGTCACTGTACAGCATATCCTGTAAAGTGCTCTATAAAATAATAATCCTGTCATTTGATATAGCGCCTTATCATGTCTTTGAGATGTCTCAAAGCACTTCACAGGGATGTCCTACTGCTACGAAAGGCTTTATAGCAAATATAAGGATTATTATTATTTTTGTTCTTTTATTACACTTTTTTATATTCTTCCTCTTGAAATGTTTATCCATTTTTCCTTTTAAATGTTACAGGCTCAGACTCAATACCCAACTGTGACAATACATCTCACATTCTAATATTCTACAATCTAATAAACCTATGTGGGAAAAAGTTTCTTCTAACCTCCCCCACCCATTCCTCCAGTGACAATCCTGAGTTGATTCCCTATCTATTATATAGTCAAGGTCACTGCACTTAGAAAAGAAATATAATAAAAAGATTTCTTCCCTTTAACATTTTCTTTGCTGAAGAGGTAGACAAAGGTAAAGATCAACATTGCATCAAAAATTACTGCGGGTAGAGGTGAACTTTACAATTACCTTCAAATGCCTCTTTGAACGCAACTATGTTCGGATGCTTCATTTTAGCAAGGAGAATGGCTTCCTGCCTTGATTTCTGTATTCCGCGAGGATCCTAAACGTAGAAGTCATCTTCAGGTTAAAAATAAACTGGCAGCACCATCCGCTCATTAATCCCGAAGACTTGTTAAAATAATGACAGTCATTCCTTATTAAACTTGGACATTATTTAAAATGGACACTTGATCTTTAATCTCACTCAATCACATACACACATACGGCAGGTTTGCCATTGGTGGCAGCAATTGGGATATGACATCCATCAGAATGCCAGGGACCAACAATTGATGAGGCTGAGAGTGCTTCAGTGTCAACCTGGATCAGCTGACGCACTCTCGCTTCTGTGTCAGAAGGTGGTGGGTTCAAGCCCTGTCGGGACTTTGAGCTCACACTCCGTTGCCAAGCATATCCCCTTGGAGCCTTCAGCTCAAAGGAGACCCCACTTACCTACCCCCCCACCCAAAAGGAGGATAGTACTCATGGGGAGTATAAACATCGGTACGGATAAGTTGGGCTGAATGGCTTCTTTCAAAGTTGTATCATTGTATAACAGGATGAATAAATACAGCAATAAATCTTGCAAACAAAGGAATCAATGCATTTAAATTACCTTGGAAAGATGAATTTCCTTCATCACACACTGCTGGCTGTCATTGTGAGGCTGCACCAAAAGAGCTCTCCCGAATGAGCCCTCACCTATCATCTTTAATACCGTGTAATTGTCCATCACAGATCATTTAGCTGAAAGACAGAGGCAGTGGTTTGAGGTGACAAAGCTCATTCTGTGGTAGATTTATCAAACTCTCTCTCTTTATATTTAATATAAAATAACCAGTTAATGAATATGTTTGCCTACATAATAGTCACCACGTTTACAGTAATAACCTTTGAGTCACCCTCCCAATGTGAAAAGCGGGGTATCACATGCAATCTTTATTATTAATATTATTAGTAAAGCACTCTTTTCTGATTAGTATTTTTTACTTTTCTTAAATTTTAGACCAGAAAGTCTGAATGCATTGTTGATGTCCTGTAGTTCAGTAGTTAGGGCACTGAACGCAAGCGCAAGCGAATAGACCTGGGTTCGATTCTCGGCAGAGGCGAAACCTTGGGGCAAGTTTCCTTACCCCCACACACCCGATAATAATCGCTCAAGAAAAAAAACCAATAATAATTTGGTCACTCAAGCCACGACTGTTTGTAGGACACCGCTGGACGCAATTGGCTGCCGCGTTTCGCCCACAAATATACATACAGTCAATTCACTTTACAGTATATTCTGTGAAGCGCTTTGAGACGTCTGGAAGACGTGAAAACAGCTACATCAGATGCAAGGACTATTATTAATTTAAAATTGATTATGACGAGTTTCCTTTTTGAAAACACATCGACAGTGGAGTGTCCCTTTAAGCATTCAATCAGCTTTCAATGCACTTTGACTTTTGCACCACTGACTTGAGAGAGAACTCGCACTCGCCTTTGTTCCATTTCCAAAGGGAAATTGCTGTTTAGTTACCGATTCTTTTACCCTAAAGACTGTCTGTTACAAAGATACGTCTGTAAACGCGAGTCCCTCAAAAAATGTAGTCCCCCACATATTACTGTATTAAATAAACTCCTAAAATAAAATAAAATAAAACAGCCTCTCAACGGTAAGTTCTCTAGAGGATCGCTTCTGGAGGTACACACACACACACAAGACACCCACAAACAGACACACACACACACACACACACAACACACACACACAAACAAAAGCCCTCACTGCTGAATTGAGTGATAAATAGGAAGAGAAAGCAGATGACTGAAACAACGAGTGTTTGACGGTCAAAGTTTTGGATCGGGAATAGAAGTGTCGGCGAACAGGTGTAGGTGTCATCTTTTTTTTTGGTGTGGGGGGGAAGGGGTTCGGGGGTGTTTGATGTCAGCTGTGGGGGTAAGTAAGTGGAGGGGAGGGGGAGGCACTGCTGGAGAGAGGGGGGAATCCCGGGGAATGCCCTTTGGAACGCCGCAGCCCCCGACACACAGTGTAGCAAATGTCGGGGCGTCACAGTGGGTGTGAACGTCACAATGGTGTGAACGTCACAGTGGTGTGAACGTCACAGTGGTGGGGCGTCACAATGGTGCGGCGTCACAAAGGGCCGAACGTTCCAAACCTGAGCAGCTGATCAGTGCCCGAGGAGGGACCTGTGGTCACTCTCTGCCCCTCACCTCACCTCCCAACTCCACACCACTGCCACTCCTCCTCCTCCTCCTCCTCCCTCCCTCCCACCCGGAAACAGCAGGACCCGGAGCCCGTCCTCCTGTGCTAAAGGTCACCCTCGCTGACAGTGAGGGGAGGAAGGAGAAGGGGCGGGTGGTTTGGTTTGGCCATCGCCCTGATGCTCAGGACAGTTGGGTTGGCCACAGTGGTCTCAGCTGACCCCTGAGCGCTGCCCATCCCTCGCCTCTCAGGCCCCCCCCCCCTCCCCCCACAGTGACCTTCAGTCACTACACCCCTAACCTCTGGAACTCGCCCTGCAATCCCCCCGCCTCCATCTTTAAAAGCCACCTTGGGTCCTCCCTCGCTCGGAGACGCGACCGGTCAAGGTCAGGGTCGCTATGTCAACGCAAATTGTGGCCTTCATCTTCAACTGCCTCCCCCTATTCTCTTGCTGCGCGGGCGCCCAAGCGCACCGTGGTGCATTGCTCCGAGATGTCATCCATCCTCACCTTCAGTCACTTTTACTGCTGCTCTCCCTGCCCTCCTGATCTCAATCCTCGAGCTAATGTCAAAATCCTTGACCGTCGAGCACCTTGTGGTGTGCAAACGTGCGCTATACAAATGTAATTTGTTATTGTGTGAAGGACACTATATACATGTAAGTTATTGCTCAAGTGTTTTAGCGCAGAATATTTGGGAAATATGAATAAGAAACTCATATGCAGTAAAACTCTCATGTCATATCAGTCAGGACCATAACATTTAATATGACTTACGGGCAAGCTTGTATAAATTGGGATTTTTTACGACTGAACACATAATAACAGCAAACAATTACCTCGTTTTCCGTGCTTGTTTCACTGTACTGCGCACACTGTACTTCATCACTGAAGCCAGTAATTTTGCACGCGGTAACGTGTCAAGACTTTGTTTCCCGCGCCTGTTTCAAGCGGAACACTGCTCGTGCGTACTTCAATTAATCTGGTGTGGTGGCAGCGTTACAAGCTTGCAGAAGATTTGAAGGGGATTTAGGATGTATTTGGGACCAAGAAACCGTTACAATTTATCCGTTTTCCGATTTATACGAGTAATGCAAAGAAATCTAAGTGTTTTCTGGTAGGAAACTGAATGGGACTTGGGTGCATGTAAGCCTAAGGCGATTGTACGACTTATAAAGATAAGATGAATGCAAGTTTTACTGTATTGAAAAAGTGAGGGAGGTCCTGACTGACAATCCCCAGATAAAATTGGTCATGGCTGTTTTGGGACGTTGCTGTGCACAAATTGGCTGCTGCGTTCACCTATAAATCCAGTCGCTGCATTTTCCCCTAATTCCTGTGAAGTGCCTCACGAGGTCGTGAGGACGTGATAATAGTAATAATAATACTTGGATTTGATATAGCGCCTTATCGCGTCTTCGAGTCGTCTCAAAGCGCTTCACAGAATATGCTGTAAAGTGAATTGACTGTATATTTTGTGGGCGGAACGCAGCAGCCAATTGCGCACAGAAATTGTGAAACAGTGTCCCACAAACAGTCGTGGATTGAGTGACCAATTTATTTTTCTGAAGGAATTATTACCCCCGGAAAAGGGATCCGCCAATTGACTAGAAAAATGGGTTCCTACTTGCTGCTAGGTAAACAGAGGCATGTGGAGTAAGGAAACTTGCCCAACATTTCACCCTGTCGGGAATCGAACCCAGGTCTTTCGCTTGCGAGACGAGTGCTCTAACTACTACAGGAGCTACAGGACTCCATAAGGTGAGATATCAGATGCAAGGATTATTATTATGATAGAAGATCCATTTAAAATAGCATTACACAACATACCCCTCAAAGTGCTTTTATGGTATTTATTAAGAGTAGTGACCCTGTCAAAACAGGATGCCATTTTTAAACAGAACATGGACCCTCAACCAGGGGTGAATGACCAATTTACCTGGTGGATCGGTCACCAGAACACTAAGAGAAAGTCCCTTCTCTTTGTCAGCATAATTTCTGCGAAGTGCTACCAACTGCCCCAGGGCTGAAGATGCAATTGTATATGCAGTTTATTTTCCAATGAGGAAGCAATGATCCCAAATCATGTTTCCCCACATGTGGTGATGGTTTAGTCCCGTTATAAACCAACACACGTCCACACGACAGCCACAGCTTGCATTTATATCACACCCCACACACAGGGTAGCATCCCACGTACAGCACAGCCACATACTACAAATCTCCCCCCCACAAAGCTCCAGTAGAGGTGCAAAGAAAAGGCAACTATACAATATTTGAGGCAGGAGACAAAATGGGTAAAAACCCAGGCACTCAAGATACCATATTAGAGGCCAATTTTGGTTAAATTTATCCTTTATTGCAATGTAAAGAACAGGAAGATGATAGAGCTGAATTCATACATTTAAAAAAAAACAATTGATAACAGCAGTTCTTTTATACTTCTAGTCAAATGTGGTTTAATTATTAAAGAGAAATTAAATTTTACACCCCTTAAAGGGTCCTCCCCCCCCCCCCCAAGTTTCAATTGACTTGTATTAGTGGTAATATTCCTTTAATCAGGAAAGGTTGATTTTAATTATTGACAAATAAAATTTGGGTGCATCCATAAAACAGGGTTATCAGTTTAACTTTGTAGCACATACCCTGGTCTAACTAATTTCAGGCCACACTTAAAAAATGACCAATGTCCTCCACAGCCTCCTTGCATTATCAATTACAATCTAATGGATTTGCATTGACAGCTGTAGAATCAGTTCATTTTTGTATTTAAAGGAATGCAGGTGTGTGGTGAAAACCGTGTGCACTCTGTGCATCTTCAGAAGTTAGGTACTGCATACCAAAATTGTTTTTATTGCACGGAGGGTGAGAGAAAAAGAAATGAACCCTCAAATACAAATGAATTAACCAACCCCTGTGTTTCCCTTCTCCCCCACCCAGACATTAAAGATAAGGGAGTGGAAATATATTTTACCCATTAGAGTCCTGCTGTGTCTCGAGTTTTAAAATATACTTCCTCAACTGGAAAACAGGATAAAAATAAAATCCCACATATACAAGTTACAAAATCATAGAAGATAAAAGTTAATCAAAGGACAGGGAGAGATTGAGAAGGAAGAGGAAAACAAAGTGACCATTTTGTTTATTTTCTACAAGGTTATTTTAGTTTTTTTTGTATTCGAGTAAGTTATCATTAATATTACAGATTATTTCTGTTATCTGCTTAGCTTATTGTTATACAAGTTAGTCTCTCTTCGCTAGCGACAACTACTGTCGCATTCTGATAATTCGAGCCATTATCTCTCAGCTGTATCCCTCCTGAGTAAGCAGCGATTCCCGAACTACGTTTTGTTCTAGAGAACACTTCACCATCAGTTAGTGTACACAAATAGCAGGCAAACAAATACACATCACCAGACAGCATTGTATTAGGAATAAAGGGTGCTGTGGAACAATAATTGCATTTGATTAAAGGTCAAGAGAAACAACATATTATTCAGTGGGAGGATAACTGCAGTGTGGGAGAGCACTGTTTGCCCTGACCACATAGGCAGTGGATTCTCCCATCTCAAGCAGATCCTCCAGGGATGAAACACAGGGATCGTGATCCTGCAGCATGATTGGGAACTGGAAAGCCACCTTCTCAATTCGGTGAGAGCGCCTGACAGGAGTCAGAAACTTCAAATCTTTGATCCCCGAGTTGCTGTTTTCCAGCTGCAACATGTTCTTGACGCTAAACGAGAAGAGATTGATTTATTAGTTGCTGTTGCTCAAACATAACTAATTGCAAAGTTAATAATGCTGCTTGATTTGTGAACCCAAATGCGTAGAGGAATCACAAGGGTCCTTAATTATGTAACCAACAAACAATGTAAAGGATTAGTTAATCATGAGCAAAATTAACAATCTACACAAGAAAACACAGCATTAATAATAAATGGCCATGGATCATTTATGGGCATAATAGATCCATGCCCATAAATTTGGGCTGTGCTTTCAGCCACTTCGCCCCAAAGCTTTGGAAATCTCTCCCTCAATCCCTCCCCACCTTGCCCCCTCCTCTCCCTCTTTCAGATCACAACTAAGACCTTACTCTTCGACTGTGTCACCTCCTCCCTCCCCCGGCTCGGTAAATGTAATTTTGTTATCGTATTGTATTAAACAACCAATTAATAACTTCTGTCAAGTAACAGTGATATATAATGTAAGAACACAACCTCCACAAAGGTGGAGGTTTTCTTCACAGGCAGCATCTAGATTCCATAAATACACCCCGAATAAACATTCTTACTTCTGTAAGATAGGTGTGTTCTTTATGTTAAACTTAATGGCCGATCCTCGATTTTCCACTTCATTGGAAATTTGCCGCTCAAGGGTCTTCAGCATCGATACATCTTCGATTTCTTCAATCTCATCGTCCTCATCGTATTCTTTGGTCTCTGCCTTGCAGACCTTTTCTTCTCCGTCTGCCTTGGCGAATGGGTTCACTGCTGTGTTCGCCTCTTCTTCCAGGCAACGGTTCCCTTCATCAGACCCAGGCTCCGTCTCTTGCTTTATAAGCTGTTTCACCTCGTCCGCCGTGGGGTCTGCTCCTTGGTCCTCCTCCTCCTCCTCCTCCTCCACAGGAGGCTTCTGTTCCCCAGTCGGAGGGTCCACTGTGTCCTCTTCCAAAACATACGCCTCAACAGCCAGATTCTCCCCTTCTTCCGCGGGCAGAGATTCGGGATCATCAGCCGGGGGCGCTTGCACTTCAGTACTATTTGCAGCATGGGTTGTGGATTCAGTCTCTGGCTCTGTCGTTTCCTGTGCGACTTCACCTTTGGGTTTCTCTGTCCCTAAAGACACAAACAGCATCACCATATTTATGCTCATCGGCATTGCACAGCTCAACCCCCGTTAGTAGTAATAATAATACTTGCATTTGATATAGCGCCTTATCGAGACGTCTCAATGAGCTTCATAGAATATACTATAAAGTGAATTGACTATATCTTTGTGGGCGAAACGCAGCAGCCAATTGTAAACGGCAGTGTCCCACAAACAATCGTGGATTGAAGTGACCAATTTATTATTTTTTTTTGAAGGAATTACTACCCCCAGAAAAGCGATCCGCCAATCGACTAACAACCGGGTTGTCACTTTCCTGGGCAAGCGCTGCACACAGGAAACATCCCGCTGACGTCATTGCACAAAGGTAGGTAGAGTAGGTAGAGTAAATAGGGAAGGAACGGTTACCATTGGCCAGTGGGTCAGTAACCAGGGTACGCAGATTTAAGATAATTGGCAAAAGAACCATATGGGAGATGAGACATTTTTTTTGTTTGACTTTACAGTTGTTACGGTCTGGAATGCACTGCTTGAAAGGATGGTGGAAACAGATCCAATAACATCTTTCAAAAGGGATTTAGATAGGTGCTTGAAAAAGACACCTTTGCAGGGGTATGGGGAAAGAGCGGAGGAGTGGGACCGATTGGGTAGGTCTTCCAAAGAGCCAGCACAGGCACGATGGGCTGAATGGCCTCCTTCTGCGCTGTAATATTCTATGATTCTATGAACAGAAAGAAAGAAAACGTACACCAACTTACCAAGGTTTTTTTGTAGAGAACTTATGTTTCCCAAAATGTCTGCAAGTGTATTACGCAGTTCCTCTGCCGGCTGCAATACAAATACAAAGTTAGGATATTGCAACAGCAAATACTTGCAGAATTGATTTTAAAGAACAAGACATTGAGAGAAAAACAATAACCTTCAATGATGGAAAAGGGCCTTTCTGGGTATTAACAATATTGGATCAGAAAAAAAATCAACCAGTACTTTGGATAATGAAATATACACTTTGGCCACAAATATAGTTAATTCACTTTACAGTTTATTCTGTGAAGCGCTTTGAGAAGCTCAACAGCTTTGCACCTGAGCTGGGGATGGGAATCAAGAGAGGTGGACGGGAAAGGCGTGGTCAAAGAGGAAGTGGTCTTGGGGCAGACCTTGAAAGAGGTGAGAGGGATGGAGCGAGTCGGAGGGACTCCGGGATGAAGTTCTAGAGTGGGGGCAGATAGGCTGGAAGCTGATGGTGGGGTGGGATGATGCTCTCACAGCAACATTGACAAGCTCGAGATTACAGGAATAAAACAAAAGTGGCTCATACCTGTGCCCCTGACTTGATAGCCTCTTCGTAAATTCCGATGATGTCGTGAATAGAGCCTTTGCGTTGTTCCAGTTTCGCCAGGCAGATCCAGTACCTCGCAAACTTCTTAGCCATTGGAAGATTCTCCACAAAACTGTTGAGAGTAAGTGTGGCCTCATTCTCTGAACAACCCTGAAGAAAATCAGAGCGATATGAGAGAAATCAAGTCTTTATCATGTATTCACGACAATAATAATAGTGCATTTTAATGTAGCGCGTTTTCACATCGTTGAGATGTGTCAAAGCGCTTCACAGGATGTACTGTAAAGTGAATCGACTATATGTTTTGGGCGAAACACAGCAGCCAATTGCACACAGCAGTGTCCCACAAATAGTCGTGGATTGCGTGACCAATTTATTATTGTTTTCAAGTACTAGGATTATTCTTACCTCATTAATTTGTTTCAGGCAATTAGAAAGATAATTATTAATTTGGTTCCCAAATTTGTTTTGATTTTCCTCTTCAAGAATGGTTGTCCAAAAGGGTTTCACTGAATCCTCTGGAGGATTGCTGTTCTGTAAAGGCACCGTTGGTTTTTTAGACTCCTTCTGCTCTCTCCACAAAGGTAACCATGCCCTGAAAAAAGGAATCAAAATTGTAGTATTCCCTTCCTTATTCAAGGTACAGAATAATAATATAGTACTTGCATTTCATGCAAAGCATCTCCATGCCGTTGAAACATCTAGAAGCACTTTGCAAAGTTTAGTGACTGCGTATTTCATTTTCTGGGCATAGTTTTCAAGCATCCAAAAAGTTAATTTAGACATCAACTGGACCCATTTTCCAAACACGTATCAGAGGTTGCTACTTCCAAACTGTGTACATTTTTTAAAAAATTGCAAAACAATTTTATAATTTTTGATCCCATATAAATTTGACATTTAAGAAAAAAAAACTTTGCTGAAAGGTTCCATGGAACTGTTCCGTGAAATCAAACAGCTCCTGAAAACCACCTCCTCTTCCTCTGGATCAGTTGCCGTTGGGTTGAAACACAGCACTTTTATGTGGAAAAATCACTGCCAAAACGGGTGATTGATTATTCACTGTAAAGACCAGACAATACATAGCATAGCGGCACTTCTTTTTTCCAAACACCATCCCATCTTTAGTAGACGACAGCATCTACGCCCCAAATGCATCGGATTTAAGGATAATAATAATCCTCGCCTTTGACATAGCTCCTTATTCATGTCTTTGACCCGTCTCAAAGCGCATCACAGAATGTACTGAGAGAGATGCAACAATAGTTATACGCTTTCAGTAATCCGTTATTTAAAGAAAAGTTACCGTTTTTCCTCCGCGCTCTCTTTGCATTTCATTGGTTTATGGGCCCCGACTGCTTTCCTAGCAGGTTTAGCAGGTGATCCTTTGGATGGGCTTCGGGACAGAGCAGAGCCTCGCTGGGCGGTGCTGTGCTTTGAGGCTGGGGGAGGCCTTTTGACATTGCCGGTGAAGAGCTGGACGGCTGGTTTGGTTTTCACAGTTGTGTTAGTTAGAAGCGGCCTCTGATTTCTGGGGGCTTTGGTCTCGGTGGCCGTGGCCAGAATCCTGGGCTTGTTGGGAGTGGTCGTGGCACTTGCTGTCCTCCTGTTGGGCTGGACGTTTTCTATTCCCGTTGCCTTTTTTAGCCTCGGTTTGAGCAGCCTGCCTCGAGCCTCATTTTTCAGCTCCGTCAGGTCCGGGTTGCTGGTCATATCAACCCTGTCCCGCTTCTCACTTTGATGGGACGTCGCTCGGAAGGACTGGACTTTGGACTGTACAATCCTACCACGGAAGGAACCTGGCAAGGGCCTACTAGCAGGAGCAGGCTTCGGTTTGCTCCCCCTCTCAGCAGCCAGTGCTTTATTTTGCTCGACTGTAATACTCTGAAAATTTTCGGCTTCATTCTGGCTGCTCTGGTCAGGCGGCACCTCATTCTGCCCATCTGTTAACAGCAGGGAAGGCTCACTGGCTTCTCCAGAGCCCTCGCTGCCAATCTGCACTCTCGACGGCTCCCCCTCGCCAGACTTCGATAGAGCTACTTTGGAGTCGCTGGTAGACTGCGTTGCGGGCTTCTTTTGCACTGGCTTATTCCGTTGAGCAACGCCACTGGGCTTTCTCCAGGCAGCCTGAGGAGTTTTCCCTTCAGAGACCTATAAGAGAGCTTGAGCATCAATTTATCTTCCTTAAAACGACAACAAAATTACGTTTTGGCTGTACAGCACCTTTCACGTTAGGAGGACGTCCCAAAGGCACCGGACATTTAAGGGTTTGCACCTGAGCTGCAGAGAGTGGGGGGGGGGGGGGGAGTAGACAATCAAAGAGGAAAGTCTTGAGACATCTTAAGGAGGGGAGAGGATGAGGTGGAGTCTCTGTAATGAAGTTCCAGAGGATGGGGGCAGAAAGGCTGAAGGCCCGACTGCCGATGTTGGAGCAGGGCAGGCAGTGGACATGAAGCAGGCCAGTGCCCACCAAGCAGACAGGGTTGGTATGGTGTTAATTGTTCGCAGAGGTAAGGAGGAGCAAGACCGTGGAGGGCTTTAAAAGTGATGACGAAGATTTTATGCTTGATCCTCTGAGGGATGGGGAGGCAGTGGAGCAGGGCCAGGATGGGGGTGATCGGTTCACGGAGCTTGATAAAGGCATTGCACCTCCCACCCCGACCACTATTGCTCTATAACACTGAGTTTATGCTGCTTTCCTGGCTGGTATCTCCTCTACATATCTCATGCTGTACACACATACAGTGATATAGCACAGAAACAGGCCATTTCTAGTCCTTGCCAAAGCTTATACTCCACACGAGTCCCCACCCCTCCTATTTCCCCTCTACGCCCTTCTCCCTCATCTGTGTAACAGGTTTTCTCTTAGATACCTTGACGCTATTTGGTCCACTGGAGCCTTCCAACAACGAGGGAAGAAGACAGAAGTTCCGGAGAGAAATTCCAGAAAGAGCAAGGTACAAGGACAATTTCTCATAAAAGTTCCTGAATTAAGGAATTCGCCAAAAGGCAGAATACCATTTGGAATACTGTCTCCCCAGCCCACCCCCCGGGGCGGGGAGAAGTAAGCAGGGTCTCTTCGGCTAAACTGGCTCCAAGGTGACATGCTTGGCAACGGAATATCAGAATGGAGCCAGCCCTCTATGCCGGTCACAGTTGTCTGGTTCCTGAGCCAGGCGGGTCCACAGTATTCCAGGGCATTCAGCACAGCCAGCCCGGCTCATCGTCAGGACTTGGAAGGGCAGACCAGTCACCTGGGGTCAGGGAATCATCTCACTCGGCTCCTGTTAACCCTGTGGGAAGCAGTGGGAAAGCTTGCTGTCCTCTCCCGTATTTCTAGTCAGCTAACATGTCCCACAAAAACAATCTTAGCAAAACATTTACAAATCGCATTCCAGACATTCCTCAGAATTTAAAATTCCAGTGGCACTAGTACAATGGCTAGAAAGGTAAAAAGGCTCCTGCATGTCCCGCCTGCCCCCCGTTCCACCAGGCCGTGTTTTCAGCCACTACGCCCTGAAACTCTGGAACACTCTTCCTCTATCCCTCCACCTTGCCCCTTCCTTGCCCATCTTCAGGTCGCGCCTGAAGACCTTCTTATTCTTCGTGTTCTGCCATTGTCAAGCGCTCTGGGATTTTACCCTGCGTGAAGGGCGCTACATAAATGCAAGTTGTTAATTACAATATTACATTTGTGAAAACATCAAGGTAGCCTAAGTGCAGACAACAACAATAAATCACATTTGTATTGCGCCTTTCGTGTCGGGAAGACGTCTCAGGCGCTGGACAGTTAGGGATTTGGAGGGTTGGGATCAGGAGGGGTGGAAGGTAGGGGTAGGAGGGTGAACGACACGGAACAGAACAGCTGAAAAATCCGCAACTCTGCCCTTATCACTCACCATCGCTGTAGGCTTCGCCTTGTCCTGCCCCTTCTGAAAGTTCGTTTCGTCTTTGAGATACAGCCTTTGAAAAAGAAAACAGCGCAAATCAAAAGAGCACTTGCGTAGAAAGCTTCTGCTCTTCGATTAGGAGAGAAAACCAACTTGCATTACATTTAATACGCTCCTGGGTTGGGGAGGGGGGAATTAACTTAACATTTTCAGGCAATTGACATCACAATGACACAATGACGCAGTCACATACAGTAGCTGCAAATGACGTTCGGGGTGGGGGTGGGGGGGGAGATAGGGATATTAATTTTTTTGTTATCAATTCATTTCTAGTGCTGACACCGTTCACAGGTTAAATAAGGCAGCACAGTCAGCCACATTATTACCACCTGCTTACTTGGGTGCGGACCGCATCACTGTAAGATTGAACGCAAAGAGAGACAGACCTTTATGAAATTACACCGACTTCTCCCAGTCTGCACTGGGTTAACTGATCTAAGCAGGGAGGCCAACCCGGCTCAGGCAGAAGGTTGTGAGTTCAAGCCCGACATCAGGAATTGGAATCACGTAGTCAAAGATGACACCCCAATGCAGCGCTGGGGAGTGTGTGTTGCATTGCTGCGTCCTTCGGATGAGATGTTAGACTGAAGTCCCAACGACCAGTTTAGGTGGGATGTTAAAGATCCCATTGCACTATTCGAAAAAGAGAAAGCAGTTGCTTCTGGCGTCCCGGCCAACAACCACCCAAACTAAAAAAAACATGGTCATTCACTCCATGGCCTTTTGTGGGACATTCCTCTGCTCAAACAAGCTGCCGCATTTCACCCATAAAATACAGTAAAAAAAAAACACTTTACAGTATATCCTATGAAGGAAGCGCTTTGAGACATCGCAATACCATGCTAAGGCACTTCAGCAAATGCAAGGATTATTATTATTATTATTATTGCTGGGAAGCGCTAGTCAGCCTCAGCGCTCAGCAAACCAGGCACCCTTAAACTATACTGAAAATGGCCTCCAGGAAAGGAGTGGTGGAAACATTGTTCAAAAAAAAAAAAAAATAACCTGCTGGACAGGACAGTCACCCAACTGTTCCCCACCACGCCCTGCGGTGGAATCAGTTGTTGCTTTCAGTGACCGTTTGCAGACACTTAACCTTAACAACTTGCATTTATGTCATGACCTTCACGTGGGGAAGGATCCCGGCGACGTTAGGCAATACGACCCCCACGCTGAAGCCCACACGGGCTAAAAGGTGAGCAAGAGGCCTCTGCAGGAACAAAGACTCTCTCCAGCAGTCGCTTTTATTTTGTGTGTGGTTCAGGCACGGAGCATACAATACCAGCGATTGCCGTGCACATTACGTGACTTGCAGCTTGCACGCGGTGCACGCATAAGAAGGCGGTATTCAGAGGGGGGAAAACTGCACAACGCAGAATAAAACACCATATGATCAACACCTACTTTTGCCTGTGAATGCAAAAATCGTAAAAACACCAAGTGGCACTATCAACCGCTACATATTGGAGAATTGATGCCTGTACCAATATTGTAAAGCTTTATGACAGGAGAATATTTTCACTTGGTTAGGGTGCTTGGTGAAAGCCTTTTGACAAGAGAACCGAATCCACTCGTGTTCACATCCATTCACTCCCTGGCGCCTCCCTACCTCTCCGACCTCCTCACTCCCCAATCCACCACCCGGCGCCTCCGCTCGACGGGCACCGGCCTCCTGCTCGTCACTCACACCCTCTGCTCCACCATCGGAGGTCACGCTTTCAGCCACTATTCCCTAATACTCTGGAACATTCCCTCAATCCCCCCGCCTTACCCCTTCTCTCCCGCCATAAAGTCCTGCCTGAAAACTTTCCTCTTCCGTGCTTACGGCCACCTTCCCCCCCTCCTTGGAGTTGGGCTCCGACACGGTTAAGAGCTCTGAGACGCCACCCTGCGATCACGGCGTTATATAAGTGCAAGGTGTTGTTGTTGCTTGAACGTTATTTAGAGCAATCAACTCAGTTCAGAGTTGGACGAAGACTTACACAATTGCTCTGTATGACGTGCAAACAGTCAACTTGAAGGAGGCAAGCGAGGTTGTGAGGCGAAGGGGTTCTGGGATCTA